CAGGTTTGGGACCGCCGCCGCCAATTATTTACTAATTTAGGATATAACTGGAGCGCGATCCGTTCTCGCATAGCGAATTTCACTGGTCGCTTCACCACACCACTTGTACATTATCAATTTCAGTAGGCGCTGGTCGGGACTCTCCGAAGCGCGAAAGAGGCCTTATTTCTTGTCGTCGAAACGGCTACGCGCGTCTGGAGGTCCCAACGCCAAATGCGACCGCTCGAAGTCATAAGGAACATTGATTTCTTGAATCAACGATGAGTATAGTCTATACTCGGCTTCTGCGTGAGTTTGATGATTTAATCGTTGAGTAAAAAGGGGAAAAGTAGTCGACATCACTCATATTTTGAACCTAGATCATCAGCTGCCGGAACTGATTAACAAACTCTCCAAGGTCCCGACATTGAGCCTGATCGAGGTTTGAAGTTGGTCACGGAGACGTAGCTGAAGGTCTGCTGGTACAAACTCTTGCTCCAGGTGGAAAAAAAGATCTCATCCACAGTCGTAATCCCGCTTCTTGACCAAGCAAACCACTCCGCTGCAGTGCCTAACTATTGTAAGCATGCCCTCATGCTTCCAAAGGTTGGATTAATCGTGGCTGTTATCGTCTCACATTTCCATTTGACACGACTCGCTCTAACGTACTGCTGTACTTGCTCTTTAAAGAGCGCAAACGATTGTTGCACTTGACATCCATCCCATTAGCCTTCACCGCATCCAAACGTAAGTCCCTAAGTGTTGTGAACTCAGCCACCTTTCTCATCATTTCTTGTTGCTGAGACATAGCCGCCAACATGCTCTGCATGATATCAGCATTTGACGGCCCGCTCATGTCAAATATAAAATTTGCACAACTTTTCGCAGTCAGATCGGGGTTGGGTCGGGCTCAGGGTCTGCGTGTGGGTCTTCAGACCAACAAGGGCTACCAGATGTGGTGCCTGGGATGTAATGACTTGACGGAGAATACAAAATTGATTGCATTAGGTCCTTAGTTCACACGATATCTGCTACTCTAAGCCTTCTTGATTCTGTGCAAAATTCTTTCTTGTATTAACTAGGACTAAACTCGATGGATTGCACAACATGCTCTTATACAGTCGGTCCGCAAGCATTCCGGAGCGGTATTGCACAACGTGCGCGTGCACGAAGTCAACCGCAATCATTCTGGAGCGGGATTGCACACCGTGCGTGTAACGGGGTATCCCGTTGCATAAACATTGATACAAAGGTATCATTTTTTGGATATTATCTATTTATGATAATATTCAATTTGCATCACCCGAGAAGAGTGATGTCGTCGGAATATTACCCCCAAGGGTGATATTCGTGGGTACTCCACTTCTTGGTTGATGTGCACGGCACATCAACCAAACTAACCACCAATCGCTGCTAGACGCGCGCAATGGATGGTGGATAGAATACTCACATAGGCGATAGTAGTTCAATATAGTTAGATTAAGACGAAATATGATTTGGCAAGCAACATTAATATATTAAATGACAGTTTTATTTTCACCTTAAACAGAGCTTGCGAGTTCTGTTTACTTCAACGCGCTTCCTCAACGCCACGTGTACGTGACGTCAAGAGTACGCACCCTTTTATTGTTATCAATACAAGGTCTTGCTCAGTTATCTAAGCAAGAGCGTGCCCCGTTACAGTGCGCGTATACGACGTCAAAAATTATTCTGGAGCGAGCGCATTGCACCACACTCTTGCCGCAGTCTGTTTTTCTGAAGACACGCAAAGTCATGTGAGTAGAGAATGACATTCTCTGGCAAGTTCCTTTCAGCGTCACTACTTGTCATGAAAGCAGACAAAGGTGGGTTCGTACTTCTCCACTTTCCATCTTGCCTACTGTTTGAGCGTTGACAGCAACAACATAGCTCTCTCGCCGAAAGTGGGCCGCAATTGCTGCCTATCTTGTAGAAGATCACGGAAGCTGGTGTGGAGAAACTGTGCTTACATATTATTCTGGTTGGGGCTGTCAGACAGCTAAGGCTTACCAAGGGCTTCAAATGTTGACAGAGTGGTTTTGTAGTGAAGATAGGAAATTGATGTATCCATCGCACCCTTTTTCCTATAATCCACACCCTACTGGCCAAAACCCTTCTCGTCCTCCGAGCCGTCACCACCCAACAATATGCTTCTCCGCCAGAGGTTGAGTATTGCAGTCGGCAACAACTTGCTGATCATGTCCACGATTTGCATATGGCTAGAATAGCGCTGTTGCGATACAATCTTCCAATCACAGGGACAAGGATCTATCTAAGATATGGTCTAGCTGCCTAAATGGTGCCAAGCTTGAAGAAGGTTTATCGGCGCCAGACTAGATCATGCCGAATCGATTGCCACTTGTTCCCATTTGATAGCACTACAATTGGAGGTAGCAGAATATGATCGTAAGGGAGTGTAGGCATGAAGATAAGTGTCACACATCCATCAAGTCAGCTCGATCAGCGGAAGTTACTTATCGGGCAGGCTGAAGCTATCAAAACTTTTGACGGGGTGGAACCGTGAGTTGTCCCGTCTACTGTCCGAAAGAGTTACTTGCAAGCCTACCATGCTGTAAAACGAGCGCACAAAAATGCCGAAGGACATGTTGTATGACGACACCAACCGAAGGGTTTTCACATAAATGGAAAGCATTCGATAAAGCTAGCCTTCTTGGATACGATGAAAATGGAACAAACATCCCTCTGATTTTGCTGACGAAACAAAGGGTTTGGCTTGGGTCATCGTCTCCCTGATATAATGGGACCATGTCGGTACCTACAAGAGAAACAAGCTCCAACTCAGTACAAAATCGATATGACCAACTCAATCGCGATTTTTGAGCTAGGTGGGATTAGATGGTACAAAGTACCTCTTGAACTACGTATTTGCGCAAGGGGTGTAGAGATGAAATATAGGGGTAAACTGCAAGGGAACACAGTGCCAATGTCCCAGTTCCCTGTCAATATCGATGCAGTTGACTATCTACAGGAGGTTTGAAGTTTTTTTGTTGAGATATGGATCAAATTAGCTTTGCTGGGGACAAAAACAGCAGTTGTTCTTTTTTCAATAATATCCCTACCATTCCCAAAAAAACGACAATTTCTAGGGAATCAAAAAGCCACCACTCGGCTGCCAAAATGTCGTCCCTTTGTCTCGATCGCAGGTCGTCAGTATTGCATCTTTCAGCGCTCACAACCTCAACTTCTATGGCTGCACGCGCCTGAAGAAGTTCTACTTGGGCGCGGCACATAAAATTACAAAAACACACGGCGTGCTGGATAATCGCGTAACCCATGTTTTGAAGCGACATCGTTCGAGAACTTTCGACGACTTCGTGAAGTGACCAGCGTCGGTAGTGCACGACACCATATTCCCTCGCACAGTAATTATACCGCCGTCATAGCACGGATATCACTCTTCGTCCCTGCTTGCAGCTTACGCTGCTGGAATACGTCGGCACATCGAAAAAAGCCACCACTTTATCCTAGGACTAAGAGTCCATAAAGTGCAGCTGTCCACACCAGTTCCCTCAAGCACAAATTGTGTAGTCAAATTTAAAATTGAGCACAGTGGCACGACTAGGTCGCGCCACATTAAACGTGTGTTTGGCTACCACACGGCGAAAGACGATCCCCACACATTCTTCGATCGCATCTTTTGGCTGTTCCATCGCTTCCATCATCCGACTAGTCTTCCACGCAACACCCATTTTGCCGTAATCATCCTCTTCTCTGTTCAACACTGCGACAAACCTCTATCGTTTTTCACACCGTATCCTTTCCTAAACCTCCTCCTTCACCTCTCGCATCCTCTAGGACGGGTCATCACGGAATGATTGTTCAATGTCCCGTACATCTAGTGCGTTCACAAAGCAGTCCATTTCAGCTTCTTCGGTCATTCTTCTTCGCTCGATGTCCAGCCGAATGTTGATGATGCAACCACAAGGGTGGTTCGCTGAATCAGTCTCTCCCGTACCTCCATAATTGGCTTCTATCGTGCAATATTTGCATGTTCTCTTTGTTGCTCGCTTAAAGACACTGCCTCTGTCTTGCTGCGCTGTGTGTACCCATATCATACGTATAGGCGATCTGCGATGCCATCCGTGTTCTACGAGCACATAGCAATAGGTCAGCTGTAGTCTGTAATAATTTGCAACTTCCGTCAAGTATGAGCGACCCGTCACTTACTCTGACTTGATCGCCAAGTAGACAGCATCGTAAACACCATCTAGTTCACCCATAGTTTCCGGTACGTGTTTACGAAATACACTTCCAGTTAGCAACTGCCTTTTCTGTCGTCGAATGCAAAGACCCCGAAGCATCAAGTAGCAACCTGAGCAATGCGAGACTTGTTCTGATCGTCAATGAGTCGTTTTTACCAGCAGCGTCTATCACCAGCGATCCCCAATTCGTTGTTTGGCTAACGGAAGAGCGCTCCAAAGCACCAGTTTGACAAGAGATACTACAGCATAGGGACGTCACGCTCGAACAGAACGGCTGTTTCATATCGCACATCTTTTTATGAACGCTGTCGTCAGTGGGGAGATGCCGCAGTCGTCCGCACCTGTCGGGTCGGCGTTTTGGGTACAGGTCGAAGTACTCGAACTATTGATTGAATATTGCAATTAATCAACCGATCTGCTGCTCGATTAATTGTGAGATAAAAAATCTCTTGGTCTGAACAATGGTCAGGTGGTGAAGATATATCCGGCTTTTGTTCTTGCCAAGCACAGCCATTCGCGCAGTGTATTGGCTGAAATACGTTCCCATCTCAGCCAGCGCTTCATCGGGGGACGAGCCAAAGCGACGACGCGAAGAGGTACGTGTGTGTGTCTGCGTGTTCTATAGGAAGGAGGGGGCCGAGCGGCTGCGAGCTCGGCGCCCGTACAAGAGAGTCCGTGTCTCCCTCCGCTGATTGCGCGTCTCGTTTGTCCTCACTGTGCTGCTGCTATAGACAGCAGAAGACCGACCCACTTGACTCGAATCACTTCAGTATCGTCACGATGAGTACCAAAGTGCAAAAGTTGATGACGCAGCCCATCAATCTGATGTTCAGGTTTCTGCAGAATGTACGTAGTCTGATGCTTTGTGCTCATTGGGCACAATCGATCCGCCGTGTAATAGAGGTGACTGGCTGTGTCTGGCATAGAAATCCCGCATCCAAGTGTGGCTCTACGAACAGGTGAACACGCGGATCGAGGGGCGTATCATGGGCTTTGACGAGTACATGAATCTCGTTCTCGATGACGCGGAAGAGCTGGACGTGAAGAACCTCAAACGCACGCCACTGGGCCGCATCCTGCTCAAGGGAGACACCATCACGCTCATGATGGCCGTCGGTGCAATCAACGGATCCAACTAGCTAACCCACGCAGCCAATCGAAGATATTTGTCCACCTGCGCGCAGGCTTCCCATCTATTCCGTGTCGCCATGAATACCGGTAGCCCCGTTGTTAATGCAGTGAAGTGGTCCATCTTGACGATTGTCATGAGACCAGAACAGCCGTGGGAGAACGTGCACGGGTAAAAGCGTGCATACCCGAGTGGAAGGGCAAGTCACGCTGCCCTGACATTGGATCTACGACGCGCAGTAAGTATTGCTGAAGTGTTTCAAGAGGCTGCCGCCGTCGAATGGTAGCTCAGCGACCTTGTTAAAACTCCGCACAAACACCTCAACGTCTTCTATAACACTGTGACAGCAACACACGTCAGAAAAGCGTCAAGAAAAGCTGCAGTATCACATACCGTTTCTTCCCTGCCGCTGTTCGAGGCTGCACCAGTTTATAGCAGTCCGGCAGCTTCTGTCCGAACATGTCGAACACACGCGACATGACATCCTTCATCTGCGGTGACGAAAGGATGGGATGCAAGACTGCGTAAAGCTTCAGTGTATTCTGTGCAATGGCTCTCATGGGTGCTGTTGGAATGGCGAGGGTAGCAGAATCATAGTCGACCTGAATATGGCATACGGCAAGCGTTAGCAGACATAAACAATAACTGCAACGCCACGCAGACCACCTCTGATGCCACATTTTCCAGGAACCGCTTCATGATCTGATCCTCCACAACGCTCGTAAATTTGCTAAAAATCTTCTCATTGTGCTCAGCATAGTCACGCAGGACACGGTCAAATTCGTCGAGTAGCAGCTTCTGGCGCTCAGTGAAATGTGCCGCAAGAGCAGCCTTGACGTGGGGAAGGAGAGTCATGGACAACTCCAATGATTGTGACGCCAGAGCTGCCAAAAACACAACATTTGATCAGATGACGGAACACTGCAGCTGAGGCTTAACATGCTTACCCAAATGCCGGGTGGAAATGCTCTTGAGACGAGCAATTTGCATTGCCCCAGCACCGAGCACCAGTTGTGTGGTGCGAGAGTTATATACCTGCGTAACAGTAGCATCGTGTTAGACTGCGTCGTCAGTGTGAAAGAAGACGGACCACATGCACTGAAGTACAAACGACGGACTCTGAAGATCTCGATACACCGCTGAAGCACATCGGTTGCCAATACAGGAAAATTGGCAGCGCAGGACAGATAGCTCACCACAATCTCCAACATGAGGACTACTGACCATACGACCCGAAACGATTTGCCACAAATAGATACCATCTTGCGCGGTGGAGCACTTTCGCCAGCGACTTCTCGATCGTCAGAAAGCAGGACGGCAACACCCCGTCCTCTCGAGAGATCGTCAAGTAATCGATGGCGTGTCTCAGATATCTCAGTGCTTTTCCACAGCTCGTGGTCTAACGTTGACATCAGTTTCGCCACTTGCACTTGGTGGTACTTTTCCAGAAACAGTTTCAGTAGAGAGAACAGAGCACCACGGAGAGTGTAGTCTGTCTTGCCTGTCAGCTTTTCCATACCGTCAACGAAGTCCATCGTGGTATCGTACAGATTGCGCAACTGAGGCATAGTGTATACGGCTTGGACCTCCTTTCTCACCGCAAACAGGTTTGATACACTGCGCTGAGAAAACTCGCATATCTTGCGCACGACTTCATCGATCTCTCGAATCACTGTGGCACACCGCGCTGTTATCTTACGATTATCCAGCCTTTTACGCACCCCATTGGGATTTTCGGTCCACCCCTCGGATGAAAATGCTTTATTCTCCTGTGATGCTTCGGTGCTATTTCTGTGCGCTTCGTCGCTAGCAGCAGCTTCTAGTCTTGTCTCCTCTTCCGCCGCTTTGTCACTTTTCTGCTGCATCGATTTGACCAGGATGTCCTGGACAATCACTGCACGCTTTATCACGATTTGCAAGTGCTCGAAAATCATCTGAACACACTGAAGAAATTCGTCTGACGTCAATGCCCGGAGTTGAACTGACACCTTTGGTTCACTACCAGAAGATGCTCCCATATCCGTCGAGCTGCTGCTGCCCTTGCTGCTGTTTGACACTGATATCGTTTCAGTAACAACCGTTTTCACGACGAGCCGAACTTCTTCATTTAGCTGTTCATGATATGTCCTCACCGTATCGATTATAACATCCAAGTGGAAGAGCATATCCACGAGACGCATAGTCGTTTGTACCGTATCCTTTTCGTCATCAAAACCTTCCAGTCGTTTCCCATCCGATGTATCGAAGGTCCATGTGGATGCCGTAATAATTGAGATAAAACGTTGCGAAAGCTGCGCACTGATAAAGTCTCGGTAGCTACGGAACTTCTCACTTAGCGCGCGAAGTCCGCATATGCCCTGTAAATGCTTCCTCAGAATCACCTGCGAGTTTTCGATCAAGTCTAAGGCGTTCGTGTAATCTTGGCACTGTACTAACGCCTCGATAGCGGACTCGGCACCCTTGACCTCCTCGACCATTGCCACTATATCATGAAGCTCTTTGATCCGTTTCTGGCGTCGGTGCAGACTCACAATATCAAGAGTTCGATCGGCGAGAGAATTCTTCAACCTATGCATTGTTCGCCTTTGACACCCCCAACGTATACACAGGCATCAGCATGACAGACGAACACAGCTGATAAACAACGTGAGCTCCTGACAATCATTACCTTAACGTCGCGACTTGGTCGCAGGCAGCTTTAATCGACTGTTTCGTCGCCTCCTGGTCTACGGATGCCTCAAAGAATCGATCGGAGCGAGACGACACCTGGCGGAGAAGTGTAAGCTCTACGCGGTCCAAGTATGTCGTCAGCTTCACGTATCACAGAATCGCTATCACATGTTAGCTCTTTCCTCTACTCATGGACTGCAGTCACACAGTTGCCCGTACCTCAGTCTGAAGCGATGTAGAGCTCGGCCTGTTCATCACTTTTTGGAATGTGTCGGGATCGGAAAGATCGAAGTCTGGCCGGAAGAACAAGTCAGGCACAATGTCTAGACACTGGGTCACACCCTCTGCAGCACAAAGCGACAAGATACCAATAACGTTGAACGCTCGGAGGATCATAAATATAAGCTGCCTCAACCTCAATCTGGTCGCAAAATACACGTCAAAAGCTGTGTTACCATCTGCAACAGAGATCGACGGCACGTTGCTTGACGATAGCTGCTCATGGACCGCTTTGCGGTGATTTTTTTCAAACTTGGCTGCGTTTGTGCCAAACTGACGCAAGTAAGGCTGGAAATCGCATATCGGTCCATCGTCGAGATTTGAATAGGGCGACAATGTCACATCGATGTCTGACGCTGGATAAAAAGCGTCCAGAAACGTGTCGCCCCAAGTTTGAGCGTTCGGATTCGTAAGCACCGAGTGCAGATTGTGATGACGCATCGGAAGAGTCACATGTCGCTCGTCGTTCTTCTGATATCCATCTTTTCCGTGCTCAAGCCACCTGCTTCTGCTCGTCGTCTCGGTCCTCTTGGACGTATTCCACGACCGCGTGCTGCCGCTGCTGTATCCACGCGCTGATTGCGGCATGGATACCCCCACTTCGTTGCTACGACTTCTCGATGCATTTGCGTCTGCTGAACGCGCAGAGCTCGGGCCCCGTACGTCAAAGAGACGCGGGTATTCCGTTGGACTCGGCAGCATCAGGCGATGTGTACTTGTCGCAGCCACAGACCGCGGTGTCCCTGCGACTGCTACTGGATCCTTCTGCACACTCAGCGGACTCTCGACTCGACTCCACCCGCGCTGCAGCAGCCCACGCGCTGTCGCCTCGCGTCGAGTCCCCGCGGACTGCTTCCCGCCGTCGACCTGCCGCTCCATTTTTCGTCGACGCTACGCAACTGCCACACGAGTGATGTTGCACGAATGTGACATCCAGGACCCGAAAGCATGAAAAAAATCGACAGCGGTGCGAGCAGAAAAAGCACTTTTCACGAAGACGCGATAAAAACGGCAAAGTACTATTCGGGGCTGGCGCTTGTAGCGACAAGTGATTGACAAAGTCCACGTGTATGGGTCATCCATCTACTCTTTACGCACCGCATGTAGATTTGTCGACATGGTAAAGTAGACAGACCTGCAGTAAGTTGGTCGCGACAACATTCCACGTACTCGATCTTATTGCAGCAATAACGTAAGCTAGGAATGCTCGTGATGCTGTGTTCCGGATGAGATAGTGAGCAAATGGGGACGCAAGCAAGGACGTAAGAAGCGGACATGGCTCGAAGCGGGTATGGTGCATACTCGATCTGTATGCCCTACTACCGAGAAACAATACAATCAAGGTGACTCTGGATCCCAGAGCCTTCATCTTCGCACCCCTCGCAGTCGTGCAGCTCGACACGCAACAACATCTACTGAGTGTGTAAAATACTGCAAGCTACCGACTACGATCAGCGTGGATGGTGCGCTAGGGCCCATGATGGCGTAACGATCGTTTGAGGTTGCAGCGACATTCAGGTAGACAACTAGAGGCTGCAACTCACCTCGGTAGACGCAGTCTTACACTAGGATCGCCATGAGCGAGACATGTTATAGGTACTACGGTTCGAGAAGCCAGCAGCAGAAGCTGACGTTGACGCATGGCGGTTTAGTACGCCACAGAGTAGCTGCTGTGTTGTTCACTTCTAGATTGGCAGCATCTTGACATTCGTGAGCGCCCGATGGCGAAAACACGTGATCCCTGACCATCTGGCACCCCTGCTGCATTTCCACAAACAAACGTCGCAACGGAGATTGCGTATGCGCAAAGATACATCAGTGTTGTGGTAACAGCGCGAAAAGCCTCGAAAGAGTCGCCTTGTTAACCTTTGACCGATCACTAGGATAGCATCGAACTGAACGAGCAGCTCCAGCTCGGCAACACAACTAGTACAACATAGCGGTGCGATCGAAGTGTCGAAGTAGTACCGTAGAACCTGTGAGCCAGTGATCGAACCTGCTTCGGCGCTGAAGTGGGACGCAGACCACTCGCTACTGACACTTCAGTCCGCACGACGGACCACTGTCGTCAGTGCAACCGCTGCGTGCAGCAAATACGTTCCGTCTCCTGACCCGACCGCTTCGAAGCACCCCCGCACTTAGGCCGCACTCTTCGACCGTACCTGGCACGCGCGTGAACCCGCACTTAGGCCGCACTCTTCGACCGTACCTAGCCCGCGCGTGAACCCGCACTTATTGCCCCGCCTCTGGTGCCGTCGCCACTCGGTACAAAGCAAAGAAGAAGAACAAGTCGCCAATCGACGTCCGATGCGCGAGCGTCAGTCTTCAACTTTCGTCGACGACCCGACACCCGCACACGACCCGCACGCGCCGTAGCGCCACGTGCACCGATCCATATGGCGCTCTGGGGCACACTCCGCCACCGCATCAGCGGCTCCGCGTCGCCGCCAGACGCGGGCCACGTCGTCGACGACTTTTTCCACAAGACGCCCGTCGACCCGCGCTGGGCGCTACACACTGTCGAGCAGCAGACCAACGCGTTCGTCGCCGAGCAGCTCGCGCTCGAGCGCCGGGGCATCGCACTTATCACGTCAGGGGCGACGGCCGTACCGCTGGACATTGGCGACGACACGTTTGTCGACGCAGCGCCAGAGCTCCAGGAGCTCCAGGGCCCAGCGGTGGCTGAGTACTTGCTGCAGTTGGGCTACGCAGTCATTTTCGTGCACCGCGAGCACTCGATGCGGCCGTTCACGCGCCACTTTGAACAGCCCCTTCGCAGTGGCGCGTTCATGGAGATGTTGCGCGTGCACGAACACGGAGTAGAGCTCTCGGGCGTCGACCTCGCGCAGCAGGTGCACTTCCAGCAGATCGTGCAGCTCCACGCCGAGTGCAGCGCGCGTGTGCTGTACCTGAGCTTCACGTCGGTGCAGCACTACCTCATGCTGACGCGGGTCACGGCGACAGCGATGGCCGCGGCGAAGGATCGCGGCATTGTGGTCCTGGCCGCAACGCTCATGGACTTTTACGTGCCGGTGGACGCTCCTGCTGCAGCAACTGAAGCAGTGGACACAAAATGCAGCGCAGAAGCGACGTCGACTACGTCTTCTTCGTCTTCGTTGGGAGACGGGAAGAGCAAGTTTGTGAAAAAGGTTGCCAAGAAAGTGGCGAAGAAGATAAGTGGCGAGTTCTCGGTCAACTTTGTGCGCGTGCCGGACATCTTGCAAAAGATCCGCAAGGACTGGTGCCCCAAAGCTTTTCTGGTGATATGCAAACATCACCTCGCAAGCGGTGCAGCCATTGAGGCTGCACACAACGACCTGGAGAAGAGTGGTGTCGACGTGATTGCTGGGTACTACCACCCGCGTGAAATGTTGCTCATTACCGAGCAGGAGGAAGCCATCGTGACGTGTCCCGGCGACGAGGATATCAACGATGCGTTTGCTTCTGCTGTTGCGAACATGCACCGCAGCTTTCGTCGAAAACGCGAGATTCTGTCGCGTGGTAAGCAGCTGCTGTTGCTGTCAGCAAAGTTCTCGATGCTCAAGGAGAACGACGTCGTGAACGAAGACGCGGACGGAAACAAGAATGTACAATTTGGTCTGGGTGTCAAGATCCGTGCTGATCGTCGGGCGCCGGATGCTATTGCGCCTGTCTACGAGCTGAAGCACATTTTCCAGAACAAAAGCCGTTGTGCTCGAGCTCATGTCTGGGAAGGTGAGGTGGGACATCCATCGGGCGAGTCCACTCGCGATGTGGTGGTAGCATTCAGTCCTGCTGGTAATCCAGAAACGATTCGCGATGTGTGGGGAGACTTCTGGTCTGGATGGGCCGAAGACGAGTTGCGGGAGTTCAAGACAGAGATGAAGGGCATGTCGTTTTCATCAGCAATCAACCTTGTGACGTCGTCGGTTTCGGGCGACTACGAACCTGCCTCTCAGCTTTTGAAGTTCATGTGGAGCAAGATCGGAAGTGCCTGGTCAGACGGCGAGAAAACGCGCGTGCGTCAGAGTATACAAAACATGATGGCTGTGGCGTTGGATCGTGGACTCACGGAACCAGCTGGAATCTCGATCTTGGAAAAGCTCATGCGTAAGCCGCGAATCCAGCGCTTTGACTCACTGGTACTGGATGAGCCGACGGCGATGCCAGTGCACGCACAAACCCATACTCGACGCCGTCGTCGAGACAGCGACACAGATAGCACTGGGTCCGAAGAAACGAACCCTGTGCGACTGAGCAAGGCTCGTGTCGTCCGCGTGCATCGTGCGATCAACGACTACATGCAGGACATGATTAAAGAAGGACTGCTTGACACGATTCTCCAGTACGTCGAACAGGGCGTACCTGTGCATGTGACTGGCTATAGCATGGGAGGAATGCTTGGTCAGCTGTTGATGTTGTACTTGGGCGATCATGCGCGCATGAGCCGCTGGGACGCAAGCAAGATCAATTTCGTTGGCTTTGGTTCCCCTCGCGTAGGCGACATCGGCTTTGCAGCTCGACTGCATGTGCTCTTCGAACCGCAGCAACTGCTGATTGTTATGCACCCATCGGACGCGGTGCATGCCTTTCCTCCTACAGCTGAGGGATACGCGGACGCCTGCATCAAGATTTTCCTCCGCGTGCATGGATTGGGCGTCGGTCGTCGCACGCCTGGGCACTTTTCGCTTCTCCCTGTCACCAAATCCATCGATCGCGCTTTCGAGCATGCGCACAAGGCGCGTGTGCACAATAAGTCGAACAAACCCGCGTGCTCGTTTTGCCAGAGTAAGGCTCACGTTTCGGCACAGCATCGGTGTCGCTACTGCATCGAGCGCGGTTCACATCGTGGTGCTGACTGCCCAAACCGCAACAAGCCGTGCCTGTTGTGCGGCAATGCCAATCATTGCACGGGTGAGCACAAGTGCCGTGTTTGCCAGCACTACGGCCATCGTGGTCGGGAATGCCACGTGCAACGCGATGTTGGATTTGCCGAACTGCTGACTTATTCCCGGTACCATCACTTCCTTTACTACAACGCGAACCTCAACAAGTCGGTTGAGTTTGTATCGTGAGCTTCTGCACGTCAGTTGCGTGAGTTCGTGACTCGCCTTCAATATGGCCGCAGGATATTGGCAGCGGCATCTGCAGAGGGAGGGTAGATGGACCAGAGGGCTATCCGGCGATCCTTGGAGCAAGAAGCGAGCAGTGCATTATCGGCGCTGAAGTCCAGCGCAAACACACTCTCACTGTGGTATCTGAGTACTGCGAGGGGCTTGAGTTTCCGTAGATGAAACACACGCACGCGATGGTCCCAACCAGCAGTGGCCACGATGCGCTGGTCTCCTCGAATGCACACGCTGCTGAAGCCACCATGTGTGCAAGAAAAGAACGGTCGCGAACGGAGCGTGTACGAGGCCACGTCAAAATCTGCCTGATACAGCTCTTCGCCCGACGATCCGCAGATGAGCAACCGCCCGTCGTCCGTGACGTCGAATGACAGCACTTGACATCCAAATGACGCAACCAGCATTAACTACCATGAACACTATCTCGAGCAAGTTTGAAGCTGACATTACGACACTTACATGCGTTTGCGCCCCGGGTGACAGTGGTCTCACACGCGAGTTTTCCACCCGACCGCAGGTCCAGAATAGCCAGTTGCCCGCCCTCAAAGCCTGCACCAACGTACGACTGGACATTGTCCCCAGCTTTGTTGTCAACACTGCTGCTGAAGAGCGACAGTGAAACACACATGCCTCGCTTCGCCGCAGCGTCTGGCACAGTGAGTGTCAAAGCAGGCAACGAGTCATTGGCTCGAACATCAAACACCAGGAGCTGCGAGCAACAGACACTCGTCAGTCATCAATTGCAATCCAATCGCCGCCGAGCCGTGTCCGCAGCGTGCAACATGAAACCAAGCAGGAGCCCGTCCACCACCTTATTGTCCACGCTGCTGGGGCACAGTATCAGCTTCCTCGCCTCGTGGCTTGGCCAGCGCAGCGTCGCAGCCTTCGTGAACGAGTACGACCCGCTGTAAAACATCGTCAGGGGCTCTGCTGCAGCACCGAAGGTCTCTACGTCCCACAGCTTGACGAGCCCGTCACGGCCTTGCGAGAGAAAGCTCTGCGCGTGGACAAGAGCGGCCGTGTGCAAAACGCCCGCGCGCGAGTGCGCTGTGGCGTTTGTTGCCACCTCTCGGCGTGAGGTCAGGTCCCACATCGTCACAGCTCCATCTCCAGCACCTGAGACAACTGTAGAGGGGGACAGAAAGCCGACGCTGTTGACAGAAGCGCTGTGGCCGCGCAGGACACCGAGCGGTGTGGGCGGCGTAATGCGCATCAGAAAATGCCAATGGCGGCTCCACGCAGCTGTTTTTCGCAACATTTGTATTACGGTCCCGACATTTTCATGGTTTAAAACGAAATATTGCACTTCATTCTGCTGACGACACCCGACTCACAAAGTCGTCGAAAAACAGCGCCAGCTCCTTCTTCTCCTCATTGTCGCGCTCCAAGTCAGCGGCAAAGCTCTGGGCCAGCGTCTCCACCACCGACTGGACACCCGAAGCTCGATGCACGTCTTTGCACGCAGGCAATTGGTGCCGCATGGCGTCCACGAGCTCAATTACCTCTCGATCGACGAGAATCGAAGCCTGTAGTACCGCAACTTCAGGTCAGATCCACGATACATAAATGGAGATATGTACATGGACATGAAGCGTCCGTCGCAAGCGACGGCGACGTACCGTTTTGACAAACGTCGTGGCAACGCGCGCACACCATTTCGTCGACTGGAATATCGCTTCGAGTTCGGTCAGCGTGGAAGGCGCTGGATGATCACCACGAGGTCGCAACTTGCTGTCGGCTGCTTCCGCCAGCAGGTCGTACACGAAATAAAGTACCTGAGCCAGAGATAGTACAGTTAGCAGCAGGAGCTGTGAGCACACGCAGTATGAGGAGGGGATCCCCAGGAGCTGCAAGACGAGTTGTACCTTCAATTGAAGCCGATCCGGATGCGCGTCGTCGATCATTCGTGCCAAGAGCTCGGGTCCGTCATGCAGCAGAAACAATCGCTGACCACGCTCGTTCGATCGCACAATCGAGGATAGAGCATAGATTGCCTTCTTCTTGACTTCCAAGACATCCTTGGCTGCTTCCTTGTCTTCTGGGACATCCAACGACAACGAGCTGACCAACTTCGGCACAACGCCGGCGTCGATCGCCCACTCCTGGGCGTCCTTGTAATTCTTTGTAGCAGATCCAACGACCCAGGCGGCATGCGCCCGGACAGGTAAATTGGCCGAAGTGAGGTACTCCGAAATGATGCCGAATCCGCCAATGAAGTTGAAAACATGGGTCTTGTCTAGGTCCTGCACCTCCCACTCCAACACCTCGAGCACGGACAACTGGCCCCTGGTATCGTTATTGTGCTCAGCTTCCGTGAACTGTTCCAGCAAATTGCCCAGATACTTTGCATCGTCCTGGAGCGACTCAAACGCCTCTTTCAGCTCGGCTTGGCGTTTCTTCCACAGTGCGACAATCTGCTGACGAAATGCAGCAGGCGACAGCTTTTCATGGGCTTCGTGGATGTCCATGCCTTCGACTTTCGGTGGCTCAGGCAGTGCCTGCAGCACGTCGTAGATTTTCTCGTGGTTCCAGTTGGGCTCAAACTCCCCAACTCCTTCGTCCGCAGCAGACTTCGCGCGAGTGCTCTCGTCCATCAGACCTTCCTCGTCAATCACCGCAAGCGTGTCGTCCTCCTCCATCTCTTCAGCCACAATATCTCCGGAAACACTGGTGGAAACAGTCACGGTCCTGTCCTTCGTATTCGGGTCAACGATCACTGATCTCATGGACTCTTCAGCGTCCTGTTCTTCAGGATCCAGCAACTTTGCTTCACGCTTCCCCGTTTCCAAGTTCATGCGTACGTGGAGTCCCTGTGTCGGACGTACACGTCACCGACAAACAGATAGACAGACAGACAGACAGAAAAAGTCAACACGACACGACAGATAGATAGATAGATAGAACAGCAGTAAGAATCAAGTTATATTGCTAAGGTCGCAATTGATTGCTTACGGGCGGGACGCCCTGTCCGGGCAGCAGCTCCTGCCACTCGTTCGTGGCAATAAACTCAGCCACTGTGACCAGATTCTCATCCGGCTCTGACGCCGTGCGGTCCACTGAGACCTCATCGCTCTCGTCAGTGAAAGAGGTACCGACTGAACATGCAATTGCCACCGCCGCTGCCGTTACAAGCAAAATGCGGCGCACTCGCGAACTTCTTAGTGGCATGTTAAATGATGGATGGAGAATGGCTGGTAGCTCGTGGTCGACGTGGATACTTTTGTGATTGTGGCTACATTAGCGACCACAACGGACACGACTTGTTGCAGCAACGTTGCAGCAACGTTGCAGCAACATTCTCGCCCCTGTCAAGCACAGTTGGCGTAAATCAATGGAGCTATTTCGGGAAAAGAGACTACAGACGGGGCACAGTGTCCGTGTTCTAGGGTTCTAGAGCACGGTAGTGACTGACCACAGCAACAGTTGGATGGTCTATTCACGCGGATCAATAAGTGCTGTCGCATAACCGTATGATCGAACACCATGCGACTGAGCTCGTCAAGTGAGTGCACATGACCGTTGGCATTGATGACGGCAGTTGACGGCAGTTGGTCTGTTCTGCATGTTCTGGAAAGACCGATTCGATGAGCACACAAGACAGTGTGGATTGTCGTGCAGTGCTGATGGTCCCAAGTCGGCAGACAGCACACCTTGAACCGTTAGTTACAACAGACCGTTGAACAGCACCTCATCGACAGCTTTGCGGCAATCATCAGTCAGCGTATTATACAAACGCAGCTCACAGCACTTGCTTAAGAAAGATCTCCTTCCTTACGTCATAGATCGTCTCGGTTTTGTGAATTCGCATCAGCTGCTTTCGTGGCTGGTAGGCACCTTCTTCGCCGATCCGAAGCAGGTTTGCCATCTCGGAACGCGACGAGACGCTTTGCTCATTCGCGAACCGCAGTCAGCTGAAGGATCTCGTCAAAGAGGCCGACGTGTTGGTATGCGCTTTTCGGTCAAACGAAGAACCGTTATCAGTCGCTTTACTCGGCAATGGCCGCGGCTTTGAGTAACCCAGTTTAATGCGGAACGGTAATCGTGTTGCAGCTATGATGCTGGTGGCCGTCGCTGTTGCTTGTGTCGATCACTGGAAAAGTCTAGATCGCTCGCGTGCTGAGGCATCCGATACAATGCATCGAGCAGAGAAGGTGCATGAAGCTATGGTCAGATGTTTGTGAGCACATGCGAAAACAGCAAGTGCTCGTAACCGTGTACAACTTGGACGTTATCGTGTGATGATGATGAGTACCCAACGCATCGACTCGATATCGTGTCGATCGCACACATCACATTTTGTGTCGCTTCAAGCGGCTGTCGTCGCGTGCAATCATCAAATGCGCTTATTAGATGAGCGAGTGTAATGAATTCGTCAGTGCTCGTAGACGACGCTGATCGCGAGTTACGGCTTAAGCTCGCTCTTCTACAGCATCGAGTGCTTGCATCACGCTGAAGCAGGCGTATCAGGGAACGGCATTGCGCTTTACTACCCGAGAAGTGTTCAACAAACTTGCTGTCATTCAGACTGGACTATAGTGAGCATCATGCACCATCGTTCGAGTACCAACGTCAGCGGGCACCGTAGTCGATCACGTCGAAGGTATTGTCAACATCCTACCGCTTCTCGATGTTTTCCGAATCACTTTCAGTCAGTCTCACGCATTCTGCACGTACCCGCGTGAGCTTGGAAACGACTTCTTACGAGTGTTACACTACCCCACTGAGACATCGACCAGCGATGATAGTACCTTTGCTCTCTCAGTACACTGATGGGATGCGTTGATAGACAGGTGGAATGTGTTTGTGAGGCCAATTGCATCATATCACGATCGAGTGGATGGTATCCTATCTACTGCTTGTACTACTAAAGTATCACTGCATTGAAAACCTCTCGCACTCCGCAATGAAAGCGAGCAGATGTTGCAACTAGAGCGTAAGATGCCGTTTGTGGTGACGTATCAGTAAACATTTTTTTGCGTTCTCGCCTAAGTCACGGAGCGCATTCCTTGCGAGGACGATGGGTTCCATGCACAAGAAATGAGGGAGAGGGGTTGTATGGGTGAGATGTGGAGAGAGGACAAGCTATGGAGGGTTGACAAGCTGTGGAGATCCTTATTTGAGAAAAATTGTTGCAATAGAACAGTCGATCACCTGCCGAGTGAGTCGTTTCAGCTTCCAATATGGTCTTGTTGTTTTGGTCAAACCGCCTTCTGCAGCTGATGCAATCGGTTATGTGTCTGCAAGCTCTTCGAAGCAAGAAGCGAATCACGTGTCACTCGTATTTCGACCGAGGTGAGTCGACTCGCATTGTGAACGCGACATTATTACCGAGCAGCTTCGTTATTGTTGCAAAAAGACCAAAGCAAGCGTGATACACTCAACAGCAGACCTCTGTCAGCACTCAATCACATCGGCTCTACTCTCCAGACCTGGGACATCAGCACTGGAACGTATGACAGCACATGGCGCAGAAGAAATGTACGATTGCTGAGGCTGTACTACGATGTCTGAGTGACGCTGGCACGCGGCCATTATAATTTGACCTGCAAGTCACATACCGCAAAGACGGCGGAATCGGTTGAGCGCGTGATCCATCCTCTGTTCCTCATGGTGCCACTTTCCGTCAAGGACCACGCCAGTACGTGCTGTGTTGCTGTTGTTTTCACGCACAACCCAATTCGTAAAGCTTTTACACCTGAAGGAATCAGACGAGCGAACGTATCCCAAATTTGATCCCAAAATTTGGCATTCATTACAATCAAAAGCCATTTATCGAGCCAATTACACTGCACACGGCCAAGCGTTCGGATGCAGCCGCCACACGTGCAGACACAAGAGTCGGCGCTGCACGAGATGCGGTCAATGAACTCTGCATCCAAAAGTGAAAACGCTGATGGTCTCCGTGTCCCGTACCAGTCGCTGCGCAGTCCGTCGAGTAACCTCCGCGTGAATAAATGGGACGCGTCGATTTTAGACTCGGAGCTGTTGGAGCTGCTGAAAAAGTCCGTGTTGAGCATGTTCAGCATGTTTGACCCTGCGATGGTCGATCGCGTCATACCGGAAATTGACGCAGCCCTCAAAGCGCTGCTCTTTGTATGTTCCATCGGCTTCAAGAGGGTACGATAAGCTCAATCGATGATGGTGCGTCGGGGCGTTAAGGACGCAACTGACGCTTTTTCCTCGTTTTTTTCGGGGCCGTTGACCTCACATGTGAAGCCCACACCAGGCATGAAGCTGGAAAATGTTCAATACGCACCACATCTGCTGACCCGACGCCGTCTTGTGGGGTTCTTCCTGCTGTCTGTGGCCGCGCCGTATATGTGGAAGCGCTTGTTTCGCTACCTCTCGTCGGTCCAATGGACTGCTAGAGGACGTCTGCTTGCTGACGATACGCGTGCAAGTGACAACACGTTGCACGAAAGAAAGTTGCTGACGGTGATGGAGAAGATCGAGACAGTGGTGGCCACGTGCCAGTTTGTAAACTTGCTCGTCTTCTTGCGCAGAGGGACGTACCCGTCGTTGGCCGAGAGGTGTCTTGGAATGAAGCTGGTACGATCACACAGCAAGAGGAGAACGACCTCGGTAATATTTCGGTGCTCAGTCCATGTTTGCTTACGAGAGTGTTGTCTTGTATATGCTGCAGGAAAGCATCGCTCCGTCGACAGCTCCGCGGCTGATCAATTACGAGTACATGACTCGCCAGCTCTTATGGGGTGGACTGATGGTGCGTCTTTGTCACATGTTGTCTCTTTGACTTGCGCAAGTGCATCGTTGACCTGTTGCTGCATGATCGCAGGACTTTGGCAATTTCATCCTGCCGATTTTGACGTGGGGAAGTCTGCGTCTGCGTACAGTACTGCAACGGCGCTCGCGAACTCGCGGCAATGGATCGTCGCAGTGCTGTTTGTGTGGTATGGCTCCGCCACAAACGCCATACATCACGTCGTGCAAGCACGTTTACTGCTTCTACTGTCTGCAGACTGCCGTTGCCATGGACGACGATTACGCGTACGTTCCTGCTGTGGATAGTGCATGTACAATACACCTATGCCGCTCTTGATGCGGTTGTACTGACGCTCGTTGTCACATGGTTCGGCAGGTGCGTGGCTTGCGGGGTGCTCTTTGAGTCGTCGCAGCGACTGCAAACGTAGATGCAAGTGGCATTACACGATGAGTCACTACTATACTATGCCCGCGAAAATGATAGAGCACTTACTTGTTTGTTGTAGTGTGGAAGTGGAGCACGTGCACGACGATCTCACACGGAGCGCACCATATGCGCGGAACCGATCGGTTGTACGTCTCTGCAGCGCAAACTGAGCACTGCTACTGAACGCCCAACGCCATTCTTTCGATATCGGAAAGTCTTCGGCACTTGATCTGCTCGCCGTCGCCTTTGAACACAGGCAGGCAGCGCATTTCCATGGAATCGACCAAGTTGGCGAGCGTCGTCGTGGCAATCCCACCCCACGCTTTCTTGACCGCCGCGACCAGCTCCGATGTCGTCTCGTATCCGTTGCCCGATGCGCAGACAACGCTCGCCAAGATGCCCCACCAGTCTTCGATCGGATTCACGTCCGGGAACTCTGCACGCCACGCCATCACATCGACTCGTGCGTGCCGAAGATATTTCGTTGCAGTCGTGGCGCTACATGTGGATGGATTGTCCTGCTGGAACTCGAACGACAGGCCGTGTTCCACGTGTGCAAACGACAACAAAATAGTTTCCCAGTGAGTCGATGTACGTGTCGATGTACGTGTCGGCGTTCAGTTTCACGTCCATAGATGTGTCAGCTCTGACGTTCTTTTGGCGCTAAAGGCACCCCACACGAACACGCTGCCTGACTGCTGGCGAGAAAAGATCAGACGGTCTCGTTGCAGGTCGTGCCAATAGTACTGGAGAGCCCATCAGGGCCGTCCAAATGTGTCGGCTCAAAAGCGCTGTACGGCATAGCGCGAGCGCCCAATACGTTTTGCGATACCGCTCAGCGTTACGTCATTGTCTTCATGCAGTCAAAGGATTGAACTGCGCTCGATGGCCGTGAGGCAGCCACCCGCGTCTGCCCATTTAGAAGAAGCACATGAAGATCGGTGACATACACACACTGGAAGAAAGCCCAACAGACAAATTGATACGTTCTATCGTTGCCGCGCGCATCGCGTCCCACCAATTGACGTCACATACAGGAACAACATGAGGCTATGCTGTACATTGCACAGCACAAGTGCCGTACCACAGCCATTGTATTGCCTCTGATTAGGACGCACTCTGTATTCAAAGGTATCATTTCTATCTACCTATCGAACTCTCACTAAGACGGGTTCCAGCCAGAACATCTTACACGTAAAACTAGACGGACATGCGTCTAGCCAGAGAGTCCCTCTACCGTAAATGACTACCTCTCCGTCCACCCTCCATCATCCTACGCAGAGAGTGTCACACCCGCTGCTACCCTTCAACTACGTCTCACTTCCATCTCTCTTTTCATTTGGGTGGTGTTGAAAAACACCAGGAGGAAAGTCGATCCGCGCAGTGCCAGCGCCGTCTCACCAACACGAGACGGCTCCCACACTAACAGAAGCGACAAACAGCAACAGCAGCCGCCGCTACGGCCACACCCGCTGCTTACGAGCGCTCGCCACGGATGCGACGCGCCAGTTGAATGTCCTTGGGCATGATCGTCACGCGCTTGGCGTGGATCGCGCACAGGTTCGTGTCTTCAAACAGACCCACAAGGTACGCCTCGGCCGCCTCCTGCAGGGCCAGCACGGCCGAGCCCTGGAACCGCAGGTCCGTCTTGAAGTCCTGCGCGATCTCGCGCACCAGTCGCTGGAACGGCAGTTTGCGGATCAGCAGCTCCGTCGACTTCTGGTACCGGCGGATCTCCCGCAGCGCGACCGTTCCCGGGCGGTAGCGGTGCGGCTTCTTCACGCCACCAGTGGCGGGCGCCGACTTGCGGGCGGCTTTCGTGGCCAATTGTTTGCGCGGGGCCTTTCCGCCCGTGGATTTGCGCGCCGTCTGTTTGGTGCGCGCCATTGCTTCGAGTGGTGAGATGGGGCGACGAGGGCGAAAAAACTGAGTGGGTGCGCAGCGAAGAGCGAATTCAAAAGTGGCCGACAGAAACGGAGAAGGAGAAGCGCTGCTCGGGCCTTATGTAGCTATCGCCCGCGTCCCGTGTGGTGTGTGCCTCGAGGGGCTGAACCGAGCCGTCGGTGCGGATCCCGTATTCCACCAATCGCGTGCGGACAATTGATCGGCTCGACCACTGAACGCGTCCGAGCGAGATGCTCCGCCAATCGATGCGCAGATACAACGAGCTGGCCTGCTTGGCCAATGAGAGGGCTGGATACGGGGACGCGACGGACGATGGAGCGGTCGGCCGAAGGTCGCTCGAAGCGAGCGCGGCCCACTTGGCGGGAAACCAGCCGAGTCCACTGACTGACACGGGCGCTGCCGCTGCTGCTGCTGCGTCTCTCGCTCTCGTTCATTCGGCAATCTTCCACGCAAGTCGCACTCAAGTCAGTCACTGATCAACATGTCTGGACGTGGAAAAGGCGGCAAAGGGCTCGGCAAAGGCGGCGCCAAGCGTCATCGCAAGGTGCTCCGCGACAACATCCAGGGCATCACGAAGCCGGCGATCCGCCGTCTCGCGCGTCGTGGCGGTGTGAAGCGCATCTCGGGCCTCATCTACGAAGAGACCCGCGGCGTGCTCAAGGTCTTTCTCGAGAACGTCATCCGCGACTCGGTGACGTACACGGAGCACGCGCGTCGCAAAACGGTGACGGCCATGGACGTTGTGTACGCGCTCAAGCGCCAGGGCCGCACGCTGTACGGCTTTGGCGGCTAAGCGTGTGGTCGGCTGGTGGCTCTGTGGCTCGAAGTCGCATGGGCATCAGACTGGCAACTTTGTATGATCAGAAGACAGTCGGCGGCTCTGACTGCCCGTGTGGTCGAGTTGCTGGTCTTGTGGCCGTATATTGACGGATAGGCTCTCTCCTCTCTTGGTGTTTTTCAACACCACCCTCTCGGAAGAAAAAGCTACTGATGCAGTATAGATGAAATACCATTATGCAGTATAGATGAAAAACCATTATGCAGTATAGATGAAATACCATTATGCAGTATGGATGAAGAACCATTATGCAAAATGGAAATTAGTCAGTGAGATTGTGGTCATTTGGTATTAGGTGTCGGAAGTAAATCGAACGTGCGAGTTGGTCAATGCTCGGGATGTTGCTACGAAGGATTGGGTCGATACGTAGGCAGTGAAAGTTGAGATGTGCTCACGTGAACGGTTGGTACAAACGAAGCCGTTTGGGTTTCTTCGTAGGAAAATTCATCTTGCGAAGGGCGTGACACGGTGCACTCTCATTTGCAGCAAAGCCACACACACACACAGTGTACGTGAAAGGTCGAGGAATTGACGTCTTCCGCCTCTTCAAGTGCCAGTGATAGACATGGGCACAAATCCTTTGGTCGCCTTAGACTGGACGACACCAGTTGCACAAGTCGAGCTGATCTGTGCAGTTCGATCGACTCAATATGGCGCAGGAGTCGCACGTGCTTTTTCGCTTGCAGATCGCTGTGCGGCGGCAATACCACACGACACTTGAAGCGCAAAGGGACATACATACCGTTCATGCGACTGATCCGTTTTGTCACGCTCGACTTTCGAAGTCGTGAACGCCGACAATCTGCTGGACCTCTTTGGTCCGCTGCTGCAGATCTGACTCAAACAAAGCCAATTCCGGGGCGAGTGCTCGACGTGAGCAACCGGTCTTTGATTCGATAGGGTCTGCCAAATTGCTCAGAGACACAAGCAGCGCTTCTTGGTGCAAAGTGTCCGGCAAACCAGCTGCGAGTCATTCAAGTGCGTTCCAAGGCCGATCAGACCATCGTGCACGGCACTGCTTTACCAGGAAATGCGCAGAAGGCGGTCTAGTACTTGCTAGTGCGTATGACTATTGCATATGACATTGGAGCGATGCAAGCGGGTACATCTTTGCTTTGTAGGTCATGTGCTCTAATGAACGGGACGCTGTTCCACTCACTGCTTATTTGTCGGAGTCAGTAGAACTTGTCACGATGAAGATGCGATGCTAATAGTGGGCAGGCGACGACGACAGACGTTCCAGGATTGCGTGCATGACCTATTTTGCCGACATTTGGTCCCACGCGACTCAGCAGTGAGGACTTGAGTCTGGCGCAGACAATACCTTACGTCTGCAAACTCACGTGGGAATCACGAACGAACTCAGAAAAAAGCAGCAGCCAGTAAAACGCGAATTCATAAAGCAGACGCCACAGCCAGCGGCCAACTCCTCTGTAGCGCTACGAATCCTATGGTCCGCATGCTGCCATTCTTGTTCGCCTTCGTCGACACTCGTAGCCGAGCCGACTAGTTGTACTGGGCGATAGCTTGGAGAAGGTCCTTGGATTCTTGCACGAAGTTCACAGGCTCCAAGTTGACGACACCTGCCTTGACGCGAAGCTCCTCCTGTACGTTCTCAGCCTTCACACGAAGCCGACAAATGTACTGCTTGAACAATGCGTCCTTGAAAGCTGACTCGAACAGTGTCGGGTTCGTATCACGGAGCTCGCCGATTTCGTCTGCAGTGCGGCCATTCATGACCACCTTCCCTTGGTCATTGAAACACGTCGTCCATGTGCTGCCCGTGTGGTCCAGCATGACCACCGAAAGAATATAGCGGTTCTCGCAAGTACTGTAGGACGTCTGGCACTTCTCGCACGTGTAGTTCTGCGCCACATCCGCTACAACCTTCTTCTGGCACTTCGGGCAGGCCTGGTAGTACACACCAGTATCATGCTTGATAAAGTTCACCGTTCCCTTCACTGTGATGTAATCAGGCTTCTGGCCAAAACCGAGTTGCTTGTTTTTGATATCGCTGACGACTGCACGTTCAGCAAAGGTGCCGAACGAGCCGCCACCAAAACCACCGCCACCAGAGCTCAGTGATTTCGCTTGGGTCGCATTGCCACCATTCGCAAACCAGGTGACGAGGTGGCCCGCTTCAGGGATCGTAGGGTTAACGGTAAAGCTTGAGCTGTTTGCAGTGCCGATCGAGCGGCCGTTGTACTCACTCACGCGACAGCCTTTGATGGCCAGGACCTGGTTCAGCCAGCTGGAACAGTCCTCCTGAGCACGTTCGTTCCACAACGTGCACTTGATTTCAGCATTGGAATCGTCAATGAGCGAAATGTCGCGCTTGAACAGCTGCTTGCCAGCTTTCGACGTGATCTCGTTGACTTGACCCACGTCTCGCACAACGCCAATAACGTCTACATTCGAATCAGCAGCTACGTTTTCAATCTCGGCAATTTTCTTGAAAGCGTATTGCATGTGCGAGATTTGCCCGTCTTCCGAAGCCGGAGAGATTTCAGAGTGCGGGTCGAACGTCACTTCGTAGTCGTTGTCAACGGATGAAAAGCGGCGGTTGGCCATCTTGACCTTACCACCAGCAAAGTAAAAGATGCTACCTGGACGCAACATTTCGTAAAACTTGTCCACGCCGTCATTGAAGAAAGTAGCGCGGATCTCGCCACCCTTTGCGTCAAGCAAATCAACGCTGAAAAGCTTTCCAGAACCACGCGCATTGGTCCAGGTCTTCACCGGCGCGCGGGTTGTCACGCGAGCTTTGATGGTCCATCGGCCGCCAGCGTAAGGGTTCAGACTGTGAATGTCCGAGAGCCGGACATTCGGGTCTTGGCGCACGACTGGACCGCGATTGTATGTCGATACTGCGGGCTTTGCAGGTGGCGCGTAGTTCGACGGAGCAGCAGAGGGCGGCTGCTGATTGTACTGGTTTCCAGCCGCCGGTGGTTGCTGGTACATGGGCTGAGCCATAGCGGGATTGGACCTTGCACCCAGAGCTGAGGCAGCCGGCATCGAAGCTGTAGAAGCTGGAGGAACGGACGGTCCCTTGGACCCTTCGACGCTCTGCGGGTTCCCAATGCGCTCGAACGCAGGTGCAATGTCGCCAATGCTCAGCACAATCAGAATCCAACGGCCCTGGACCTTATTGCGCATGTAATCCTTGAGCTGCAGGACGTAGTTTGTCATGAGACTCTCGCTTTCCATGAGCTAGTGGTACACAATGCAAGAAAAAAGCAAACGATAAACGAAAAAAGCCAAAAAAAGGATCAAAACAAGCAAACGTCGCCGCAAGATTACAAGGATTGACATCAACGAAACACTTTTTCGATGTGTCAGCGAAGAAAAAGATGTGTGTACCGGCGCGAGCTGCGTCGCCAGCATTCCACTGATGTACGTCGTGCCATCCGACAACACGATGCTGAGTACCCCACACACGAAAACAAAAAAAGCCATTTGTCAGCAACACGTTCTGCCAGCAAAGTATTGGTGGTGTACAACAAGTGCTTTTTAGCCTCGTCGCGTACCGATATCGGTCCCCGCCTGCCCCACTCGCAGGTTTGATCTTCTTGATGTCAATGATCTGCAGCCACGGCTCAAAGCCGTCGGGCGTCTCGTTGCTGTGCAGCAGTGACACGGCGTTGGGCGTGAGGCTCACCATGTTCCGCGGGTGTTTTTTGGCGCCAACGTGCAATTGTTGGGGCGGGCGTTCTCTTTTGGTCCCTACCGCGCACGGAGACCTATTTTGGGCGGACCTTTTTTCGGACCAAAAATAGTCCCCCGCGAGCCCACCTCGCGTGAGGTTTTTTAGTCGACGTGCGATGTCGGCGCTGTTCCTCGAGCAGCTCGTGACCAAAGCGGCGGTGGACGACGCGATAAGAGGCACAAGAGACCGCGTACTGGTGCTGCGCTTCGGTCGCGCGTCGGACGTTACGTGTCTGCAGCAGGACGACGTTGTGGGTTAGCTGTGCTATGCGTAGGAGTGCATCGCATTGGGCAACTGCTCTATTGCTGCTGCTGATTGGCGGATGCGTTGATGAGTTTGACTGTACTGCGTCGTATGTGACATTTGTGTGTGTGTGTGTGTGTTTGTTTGTTTGTATGTGACTAGTTGGCCAGATGTGAGCACGCGCTGTCGAAGATGGCGCGTCTGTGTCTAGTGGAGGCAGAGCACGTACCTGTTTACTGCCACTACTTTGACATTACGCTCATCCCGGCGACGGTCTTTTTCGTCAATGGACAGCACATGAAAGTGGACTATGGGTGTGCTGCCCTTCGTACTGTTGTTGAGTCGTGCGATGCTGTGGGGCTGACTGCGCTATCGTGTCGTGCGTTGATTCGCTGATCGCAACTGGATGTGGATGTGCAGGACACCTGATCATACGAAATTTATTGGGGCTTTTCGGACAAAACAAGACTTTATCGACCTTGTGGAAGTACGCTGACCGAACGTCATGCGTTGCGAGCTTGTAGGGCTAACGTCTGTGACGTGTCATTGTCCTGCTATTCTTGTGGTGATGTAGGTCATTTATCGAGGCGCACGACATGGCAAGTCAATTGTGAACTGTCCGATCGAGAAGTCACACATCCCGCAGTACGACCTGATTTACAAGGACATTTGACATCCGCGATCACGTGCGTGTATAGTGCATGTTGGTGATGGAGGACGTGTTTGCGCACTTTGGTGAATGTGCGGGGCAGCAAGATCGGATTGCAGACACGGAAAAGTGTGAACTGCTTGTTATCGGTAATGGATCGGCATTGTGTTCGTGTGTTGTATCTGCATGAGCAAGAAAAGGAAGAAGTCCGGATGAACTGATTATGTAACGCATTAGGCTAAAAGACGTATCTGAGTCTTTCTGCGTTGTCGTGCAGCTCTCTCCATACAGTACGCTGGACCTTCGGACGATTTGAGATTCGGTGAGTCCACTGTCGAGGAAGAAAGCATAAGACGTTGTCCAAGTCCACCTTGACATTCGTGCATGTAGACAATGTCCAGCTCTAGCGGGTGTTTTGTTTTCTGGACCTCTGCAATGGCATCCAGTCGCCTCCTGAATACCGAGCCATGACCGTGCTTGATTCCCTCTATTCGTGACGCGTGTGGGGCTTTCGATGTAGGCGCTGTTCATGTTCTAGCGCTTCGGTGATCAGGCGACAGAAGAACTACGTTGTAAACATCATTGCTGGTGAGGATGACCTGCACATGCACGTTGACATGTCATACAAAACGAGACAATTTGGCCATCTTCGGTCAAGGCATGATGGATCGAGCAGACTTTTGTGGACAACTGTTGGGTCATCAATATTGATAGGCAGCAGACTCGCTGGCCTGTCTGCGGGTCGCACATGCTCATCGTTGCCTACTTGCTTCCATTGATGCCTGCTAGTTTTACTGCGCAATCTTCGCCAGCAGTGCGATTGCGTAAATCTTAATCTCGGAGCCACCATCCACTTTGACGATACCGTCCGAAGCATCAGTGCCGATGAGCGAGCCCTTCATCCCTGCTTCGTCGCCGGACAGAATGATCACAGTGTCCTGCTTTTCCGGCACAACTGGCCGCACATCGTTGAAGGACACAGCGATCACGCGACCATCTGCGTCGATTGAGCACGAGCTGCCGCTCACGCTGGTAATGGCACCAACACTGCCCTCGTGCTCACCCGCAATCACCTTGACCTCGACGCCCTTTACCTTCCATGTCACTTCTCCCCCAGCAGCTCCGCTTGCTACAGCGTTTACGTCGTGGTTGAAGACAGGTGTCATCGGCACTCCATTACCTCCGAGCATCCCCGGCGTCGCGGCAGGTGTGAGAGCTGAGTTCATGCGACCCATGGGAGTGCCCACGCCAAACCCTGGAGTCATGGGATTGTGGTTGTAGCCCGGAGTGTTCATGCCAGGGGTCACCGGGTTGAGACCCGGCGTCATTGCCGATAAGCCAGGTGTCGTGGGGTTGAATCCTGGAGTCATCGGTTCCATTCCCATAGGTTCGTGACCCATACCAGGCGTAGCAGCAGACAAGTGTGCGGGGGTTGTTGGGTTCAGGCCTGGCGTGGTCGGATTCAGACCTGGCGTCGTTGGGTTGTGGCCCATCATGTATGCTGGAGTCCGCGGCTGCAGTCCGGGTGTCGTCGGATTCAATCCCGAACTTGAAGCGTTTGCAGCTGGGATCACCGGCATCATACCTTCTCGGGTTGGAGAGCGAGGGGCCAACGGCGTCGTTGGGTTCGAATAACGACTACTTGAAGCCTCACTTGTCGGTGCCATAGGTTCCAATGGCGTGCCAAAGCTAGTAGCGTGAGTGATGTCTTTCTCCTGGTTCATTTGTGTCTCTAGCAGCGCGTCATCATTCGCAACATTCCATGCCTCGCCGCCACGTCCCGATGACTGCGGAGTACCCATGCCACGGTGCAGTGGTGTTGCCATCGGGGTCATCGCACTGCCGTGGAGTGGCGTCTGCGACGGTAATGGCGTGGCACCAGTCATTGGAGTGCCAGCATAGCGAGGCTTATCCACCACACCGCCATCACGCGTACCAGCCACGGTGATGTGCAATCGATCGATGTCCACAACTTTTGCTTTGCAGTGGATTTCGACCTTGACTTTCTGGTCACTTTCATCAACAACAATGCCAATGTAACCTTTCCAGCGTCCCTTCTTCACTTTCACGGTCTGCCCAATCAGCTCGGACTCACGCTGGTTTCTTCCACCACGCTGGTTCTGCTGACGCATGCCTGCATCCATTCGAGGCACCGTCGAGTTCGAAATCATATCGGAGCGCGCTTTGCTTCCAGACAGGATAACACCACGCGCTCGTGCCACAAAGATGCCAGAGTTCGTCGTGATGCGGTTGTTGTGAACGAAAAGGTACGTCCGGTAAATATGCTTCACCGTCCCGCTGTGACCCGAGAATGGCCCTTCCACGACATTCACCATTTCCCCTACACTGACGTGGTTGTGCTTCTTGTCGAGCGCTGCCGTTGTACGCGAAGACACGATCTTTCGCTGCACCTCCTGATCCGAAATAGTCCTCGACTGGCCATTCTGGCATAGCACTGTAAAGCCTTCACGCCCGACATGCGTGATCATGCCCACATCACCGTGGGCAAGAGCAACGAGATCGTAGAGCTCTTTGCCCTTGTAGGAGTCAAGCCCTTGACTAATCTCAGCGGACTCTTGCAAGTCGCGCACACGAACTTGAATTTCACGAGCCATACTATCGACCAACACCACGGCGACGGGAGCACCTTCGCTGTCATCCACCGCAACGACCGTGCCAGTCTCGCCCGAATATATGCCAGATACCACCTTAATGTGATCGCCCACCTTCACATACTTCATGAGCTGCTTCAGTTGAAAGTCCAGAATGGTGTCCTTAATTTCTTCGTGAAGTGGCATGACTCGGACAGTGTCGTTAGCTGAGTTGGTGCTGAGCACGACGCCCATGAGGTTGACCAAGTCACCTTCGATTACACGAACCGTGTCGCCCTTCGTCAATTCTACCTTGCCCTTCCAATCATCTGCTTCCACAGAAGCCAGCATGTCTTTTGTAGTGTGTCCGCCATCATCTTCGGCAACTGACGAGAAACGATTGATATCTTCCAGCGTCGGATTCAAGTCCTCTGTCGTCAGCATGGTGGCAATGTTCACTTCCTTGATCAGGAAACCGTCTTGGTAGAAATCATTGTCAAAGCTGTCCATCATCTCTCCCGTCGACGGATACCGGCGACGAACTACGTCAGCCCCGGGAACCATGTTTGCATGGAAAAGCTTCTGCGGTGGGCGCTGGCCTTTTTTGTACTTAGGTTGCTCACCTCCTGCTAACACGATCGGATCTAGTCTCGGAATCATCTTCACTACGGCACGCGACCCGTTGTCTAGAATTTCAACAATCTTGCACAGGTCTCCTTTGTACAGCCCCGCACGCTTCATTCGTGCCCATGCGCCAGCAACAAGCGGCTTTCTCCGCGTTTGGACGTTCAGCACCGATGTCATTTCGTGAATAGGCACCAACTTCATCGACCACTGCTGTACATCTCGCAACCCCGTGAGACAGTTTTTCGCGTGCGGTTCGCGCTCGGCTTCGACGTAGATAAACCCCTTTGAGTTCGAGGCCACCACTGACTTGATCATGAGCGGCTCGCCACGGCGACTAAACTCAATAAACTTCTTCATGAGCGCCACGACGAGGTGCTGTTCATGGCCAGGTTTGCACTTGAAGACCCACATCCGGGGGTCCTGGATCGACGGCAGCAGCGACTGCTGCGCCACTTCGCTCTGGATCACCTCGCCGCCATCCTCGTCCCCGTCGTACTGTTTCCGACTCTGTTGATGGCGCTTCTTAATGCGATTGACAATAGCTTCGGCGCTCTCAGACTCGTCAAACTGCGTGCGATCCTGCGGCTCGTACCGGTACGAGTGGTGCCCCGCCTCGACTTCTTCGGCCATCTGGCGCTCCGAGCGATACAGATCGTCGTCTTCTTCCTCGTCTTCCTCCTCTTCCTCGTCCTCATCGACGTCTGCCTCTTCTTCAATGAACTTGTTCACCGGCTTGCGACGTTTCTTGGGCTTGGGCTGCTTCCGGTCCACGGCCTTGCGCTTCTTCACGGGCGTCTCCTCCTCCTCCTCCTCCTCCTCCTCCTCTTCGTCGTCCTCCTCGTCGTCTTCTTCCTCGGGGATCTCATCTTCAGACGCGTCCTCCTCCTCCGACACATTGCGCTCGAGCTCTTCTTCGCTTGACGACATCGCGACGACGTCGACAGCAGCAGACAAACGCGTGCGGTCGAGTTCGATCGATGGATTAATAATGGAGGGGGCCAGCGGGGCCTCAGCTGTCGGGCCGGCACCCCTGCCAAACTCGATATCCGAATGGCCGAGGGTTAAGTGAACGTGGTGTGCACGACCGACGTGTTCGTCCGTAAAAGGCTCGTGCCCCCATCTGGATTTGATCGGCGCCCTGTTCGTGACACCGACTCGGAGGTTATCGGGCCCATGTTGTGTCCCGCGAAAGCGCCAGCGTCGGGCCCCCCGACATTCTCGAGAAGCGCACGTTGCGACATGAGTGACGAGGCAGACGCTGAGGCGGCGGCAGTGTTTGCGCCAATCAACGGACTGCTGGGGAAGCCGACGGTGCTGGCCCGCGTCGTGGCGTTTGCTGGGTCGGTGGATACGCGAGTGCTGGGTGCGTCTCGAGCGTGAGAGGCGATACTACAGTATAAGATACCCCTGCGAGTCGAAATCCCTCTAATGCGTTGTGTACGGGCTCTACTGCGACTGCTGCAATCGCTGCTGCTGCTGGTACTACCGCAACTTGTATGCTCTGCTGCAGTGTGCCTCAACCGCAATTGGGCGCGGGAGATGATGAAGCCGTCCGTGTGGGAGATCTCGGCTGGTGTCCCGTACGAGCCGCTGCTGATCAATTGCTTCCGTCGCGCGGCCAACTATTGCTACCGCGAGGTAGACGCCCCTTCCCCGTAATGTCTTTTGCACTTCCCACTTGCTGCTTGTCGTGGTTGTACACAGCATGAGGTGCCTGTTTTTTCTGCTGACATGATTCGATCTGTGGATGCCCATGCTTAGAAACGTCAACCGGAGAGGATCGCCACCTGCTATCCGGGCGTGTCTGTTGAACGAGCGCACGTCCATGCGGGAATACGTGCACGACTTGAAGCTCATGACGGCAGAAAACGAGTGGTTTGATAAATCCCCGAGTGTGCTCGGATTGAGTGACGTGCCAGAAGTGAGAAATGACGTGCACCACAACGCGCGGACAGCGTTTCAGAACCCGAAGCTGTTGAGCACGCAATTCAGTCGAAGTCAAGATGCACGAGTACGTGATGAGTAGAATCTGTGCTGAACTGGATCACATTGTGCTAACGGAAGCGTTTTGTACCTACTGCATGACGACTGCAATTCGTGCGTAGCTAGTATCGGGCGCTGTTGATCAAGAGCGTGCGAACTTTTACTTGTGGTCGCTTGAAAAGCAGCAACTGCGCGCGTCGATGACACAAGCCAATGCTTCGTGCTATGATGTGTGTGACGAAGCCCTCGCCGTGGGCTGCACCGATGGTGCGGTCAAGATTTGGAGCTTCTCGTCGCTTGAGAGCCGCAAGTTTGATGCAACACCAGTAGTGAACGCTTCGCCCACTACGTCAATCTCCCACCGCTCTAGCCTAGGAATGGTCCCTTTCATCAGAACGCGAGCGAAAGACAAGGTGGTGAACGTCAAAATTGACCACAACGACGGCGCTTTCTTGCATCTGGCAACCTCGACGGAGAAAGGGGAAGCAAATATCTGGGACGTGACAAAGGGCGAAATCATCGTGTCCATCCCGTCCAGCAAAATCCACAAGTCGATGCTGCCTCGGTCACAGAGAGAGACATGTCCGCAGATCACGAGTCTGATGTTGCTCCGTAATACGCTCGTCTGCGGCACATCGTGTGGCCTCATTCGTGTCTTCGATTTGCGCAGCAGCCGACTTACACATCGACTCGCTGGCCACCCTGGTACGCATTCATCACGCGATCATCACCTACTGATAGATTGACTCATGTTTCAATACCTTGTGCGTTGCAGGTGCTGTGGTCAATGCAGATACTAAAGGCCGGGTGTTGTGGTCAGCGGGTAGTGAAGGCACCGTTCGATGGTGGGGCGGAAAAAGTGCAAAGATATTGCCAAGGTCGGCTTTGTGCGAAGGCACAATCTCGGCCCTTGAGATGGATGAGACCGTAGTCGTTGCAGGCTATTCGGAGCAGGGTATGGAGGCTTGGGATGTGCGGACTCAACAAACGCTGTGTACATTCAGCAACCAAAAACACGGAGGCGTTCGAGCGCTTCAGTTTGACAACCGCAAGCTTATTAGTGTGTCCACAACCGGCAAGGTAGGTCTAACTGTACGCACCTGTCTGTCGCTTGCGTCAATATGCTTATGCTCTGTTTCACTGCGTAGGCGGCGCTGTGGAGATGGTATGAGCCCAATCCTGTGCGATGGTTTGAACCTCCGAATCCCTCGGCTCGCTTCGTCTCGACAAAGTTCAATGACCGACACCTTGTGTTTGGTACCGACTACGGAGAGCTTGTGGATTACGACCGGCTCGCCTCGGTTATTTAGGCCTGCCGTGCCCTCTGTTGCCAAACAAGTCATGTGGAAAATGAATGCAAGGATAGGATAGGAAGCTGGGATCCCTAAGCGCAAAATTCACGAAGTGTGGTGCGGGTCTGGTCGCCTGAAATGCATCGCGTGTCCATTCTTCACAGCTTCGCCTGCTTACAAAACCTGATGGTTCGGACCGGAGAATACGTGAAGCTTTTGCAGATACTTGTACATATGCGCTCCCTTGCTCGCACATCGTTTTGTTTTCCTCACATCCAAAATGATGGGGTCATACCATCTCGTCGACAATCGACGAGAGAGGTAGCTGATGCGCCAAGACTGTCGTCACAAGTGCTGAGCACCATTATCAGAATCAAAGAGATATGCGATCAAGTCTTGTACTTGTGTTCCTTTCACGCTGCGGAGGGCTGCAAAAGACAGCGTTGATTACAACACCGAACCGCATCGATGCTTTTACTCCAGCAAAACAACGTAACAAGTCACTACTGGATGTAGTTGTAGGTAGGAGGGTAGTTCCCTTGCCGCAACCAACTTGGACAGGTGGACTCTTGTCAAAGGGTCAAGGCGTGACTGCTGTATAATGGCATGACGACGTGAGTAGACAGGTTACAGCTTTCGGCATTCGATACGCCCTGCTCCACTTGCTTCTGCACACAAAATCTACGATCCTTCAACAAGTTTGCTTCTGATGCGCTGACCACTTCACACAGCTACTCAGGCGACAGCGATGCCATGCATCTCAAAACGAGTCGTCGTGAAACAATGTATCGGAGAATGCCGTGAAACCTACATAGAGGATCTCCGATCCGTCTCTCTCTTGTCGAACGCGAATCGGGTAGCACTCCGCTTGGCAATTGACCGGAAGAAGGCACTGCCCATCTTCGAGAGAAAACGGCCACTTGTGGCGAGGGCACGAGATGCACAGTGTACCGTCAATGTCTTCGATATCGCCAAGATGGAGCGATGCAGCTTGGTGGGGACATGCGTTCTGGATGGCGTAGAGCCCACCTTTGTATTTGAAGATCGCCACTGTCTTTCCATTGAGCTCCACTTTCGTGCCTACAAGCCACAAAGTAAAAACGATCCAAACGTCTGCGTCTCGTGCCATGTCCATCCCCACCTTTGTACCACAAACAAAGCCAAACACGTCACTGCATTAGTACGTACGTACGTACGTACGTACCCAACGTCGTCGTCGCCGATCCAGACTTCACCCGCTTCCGGCCGTTCACAGTGTACTCGTACTGTCGCGGATGGTCCGTCGCTTCGACAATGTCTGGTACAGAACAAACGACAGCGACACAGTTAACCGTCAGAAAATGCACTGCGTCGTCACAGACGCACCTGCCGAACGCACGGGAGTTCGAAACCACAAGTAGCCGCTGTCGTCGTAGTCATTGCGCCGGTTCCAGCGCCGTGGCACAGACGGCACCGCCTCAACATCGTCGACACTGTCCGTCCACGGAGACAGTCGTCGCCGCTCGTCGCTCATGTCGTTGCGTCGCGCGTGCGACGACGAGCTCGAAACGCAAACGACTCGGAGATCGCTTCATGGCGGTCCACGTCGCTGCGTGTCGAGTGCTTGCAGCGAAGTCGCGGGATATCGGTTTTCACAGGATATACAGCAGCACAGTTCCCCACCCCCGACCAAACCCATCGGCAGGCATCACATTCTGGAATCTTTGGCTGGTGCCCCAGCGCCTCTCGCTCTCTTTTTTTCTATCTGAGTGAGTGAGTGAGGGAGTGAGTGCGTGTGCGCTTTTGATTGTGTCATTTCCGGGTTTCAATGGCGAGCAGATACGGCGACGAGTGCCGCAGTCGCGGGCGGGACCGCAGCAGGGAGAGGGGCTACGGGGCAGGACGCGGCGGCGGCAGCGGAGGCGAGCGAGTGTACAGCAGCGGCGGGGCGGTACGGGGCGCCCCATGGGCGGCAGTGGGGGCTACAGCCGCGAGCGCTCGGGCGGCCGTCGGGGCGAGCCGAGCGGCGGCGGCGCTGAGCACTTGGCGCGCATCCACGGGACCGAAGAGGACCGCGTGAACTGTCCGTTCTACTTTAAGATCGGCGCGTGCCGCCATGGCGACCGGTGCTCGCGGCTGCACAACAAGCCCGTGTTCAGCCAGACGATCCTCGTGAGCCACATGTACCAGAACCCGATCGCGCAGGTGATTGCGCAGAACGGCGACCCGGCGTCGCTGGACCAGCGCCAAGTGGACGAAGAGTTTGAGGACTTTTACGAGGAGATCTTTGAAGAGCTGTGCAAGTTTGGCAAGCTCGAGGAGCTCAATATCTGCGACAACTTGGGCGACCACCTCGTGGGCAACGTGTACGCCAAGTACGACGACGAGGAGCACGCGGCCGCGGCCCAAAAGGCGCTCTACGGCCGCTTTTACGCCGGCCGACCGCTCGTGTGCGAGTTTTCGCCCGTGACGGACTTTCGAGAAGCGCGCTGTCGCCAGTTTGACGAAGGCACGTGCAATCGCGGGGGCTACTGCAACTTTATGCACATCAAGACGGTGCCACGGGCCATGCAGCGCGAGCTGGAGAAGACGTTCAATCGTGGCCGTCGGGAGAAGAGTCGGAGCAGAAGCAGGAGTCGCAGTGGCAGTCGGGGACGAGCACGGCGCGCACGCGGCCGGTCGCGCAGTGGATCGCCCGATCGGCATCAAACTGACTTCGCACGACGCAAAGGCAGTCGTAGCCGCTCCCTGTCGCCAGGCAAGAAAGGCCGTCGTAGTCGCTCGCGCAGTTACAGCCCGCGGTCGCCTACGCGCGAGTCGAGTCGGGGGGCGGGAAAGATGAACGACGGTCCCGTAGAGAAGCATCGCTGAAGGCCGTTTTGCAGCTGCCGATTAGATCCTCTTCCTTCGTTGCTACACGGGTCAGTCAGTCTATAAGCTGGAAAGAGGCCGGTGGTTATGTTCCCTCCGGACGCGTTTGCTGACCACGACGTAGTGGCCTAATACATGGATTTATTTGCTCGAGTGTCCGTTGCCATCCCAGTGTCAGATCATCATTCGAATCAGCGGCGTCGGGGACCAAGAGACCGATCCTGGACCAATTCACGGCTACGTACATCTTGTACAGCATATCGCTCTATCGCACACTCGCTGCCTATCCCTAGACAACTCCATGCTACCTTCTCAACCTGTACTAGACGAATCCGTCATCGTAAAACGTGTCCTGCAGTTGCTGCTTCTTTTTGCGGTCCCCTCTTAGCTCATTGCTGCGCTGCTTCCTCGCAACCGATTTCTTATCGAAGATATCACTCTGATGCAAACAACGGACCAGCGTAAGGAACACAAACAATGCAAGTCTAAGTACGTGCAGACGTCAACAACGCACTCTGTCCACTTTGCGGTCGTCCAAAGTCTCCGGTAGATCCAGCATTGCACGAAGCACGTTATTGTACTTCACATGCTCCTGGAACCCAGTCCCCAGACAATCTTTCATCGCTTCAAACTGCTTCACAGATCTCCATGAGCTGATCTCCAGCACTTCGCTCTTCACCGTAAACGAAATGTGCGGAGTCTCACCAGTCTACCGATAACAAAGGACAACGCGTTGTCAGTAGCAACCACATTGACAAGTGCTCAGGCAGTTGCACGATTCATCTTACAGCAAGCGTCGAGTAGATGTCGCGAAATACACTGCGCTGGGTCTTGCGGTCTTTCTTGCTATTCTTCTTGCTGTTGTTCTTGCTCAGTTCGAGAAAACGCCCAAGAATCTCTTCGTCATATGGTAGTGACACACCACAACTCTGTGCGCATTCGTACAGAAAGGCAACACTTTCGCCAGCAGCAGCACGCACTTCAATATCCTTGTGGTCCAGCAGAGCCAGGAACTTTGGTAGCAATCTGTCGATCATGCACAACTCGACCACATACAGAACTTTGTCAGCTGTTGAGATGCAAGACCCAGCAACAATGTTCCTCACAAGCTGCATGACTCCCTCCTTACCTTTCAAGCAAATCGTCATTGACGAGAGCCTCATCGAAAAGAGATGACGCAAGTAGACCCCACGAATCAAGCGCAGCTTTGCATATACCTCCAGCGTTATTCGGATCGAAAAACGTCTCGAAGAGCTCCAACAGCTTTTCGGTGTTCTCTTCCTCGACACTGCACGCAAAGCAGACCAGTCCAAGCGCTCGGATCGTCTGAGCAAGTGGCAACAAGCATGAGCATACTTGCTCGTTGCAAAACAGTAGCGCGGCATCGACGACAAGTGACGTACCGCCACCTTGACCTTTGCGCTTCTAGCTGACTTGACCAATGGTTTCAGCACGGCTTTACACCGCTGAAACAAACTCTCGTTATCCTCTCCAGCGATGATTGCCAAGACCGCCAAGATGCGCGAGCCGAGCACTGCCTCATCATCAGACGGTTTGCGTAAACATCCGAGCACATTGTCCATCAAGCTGACCATCAACCAAGTCGTGAGTCTTCCATCTTAGCAGTAGACTCGCTCATTCATCGTGCTCCCAGCGTACCTTTCGTGAACATCTTCTGGTGTCATGTACTGCAATAAGTGAGTCGTCAGCTTTTCCAATGCGGCAACTCGCGTTGTTGTTCTGTGCGCAAAGGGCGTACACGGCAAAAAAAACACATCGTACGTGTAGTAAGTGTGCGCTCATCGTCATCCTCCGGCAACAAAATGTACTCACGTACCGCTCTTCGTTCAAATCGTCAACGGCTGCATCGATTTCCTCCTCGTCGTCCACATTCTTCGACACGCCGTCGTACAAGTTTTCGTCGTCCAAAACGGTCGACCCGCGGATGTCCGTTGAGGCAACAGATGCAGCTGCATCTCCGTCATCTTCTGCACGGACCATTCGCCGACCTCCTACATGACAGCCATACACAGACACAATCAATACCACAGCCCCGTTAGAAGCCCACGCAAGAGAAGCTGTCCGCACCTCCGCGTTTTTTGCCCATGACAGACTGGAAGGGTCGCAAATCGGTTATGGCTGAGCTGGTCTGTCGCGGTAGCGCCGAACTTACTGCGCAAACAGCGTCCCTGTAAGAATTAATACCGGACGTTCAATCGCTGCTTCCTATCAACCAATCGGTGCCAGCACGCACGCCGACAAAAAGCGATTCGCAATCCGAACGAAAAGCGAATCAGTGCGTCCAAACGCGACAAAAGCACCGGACCAATTGCAGGGCGCGAGCTCCGTTGGACTAACTGTAACCCGCCACCTTCGAGTCACCGGCACGCGTTTCTCTCTTTCGTTCGTCATTTTTCTATTGGCGTGGACACACTACTTCGATCCACGTGTTCTCTCGTTCGCTCTCTCGTGTTGACAGTGCGCTCGCGCAATGAGTGCGCACTTTGTGACCGCAGGGGACGTGAACGAGACGGCCGACGGCATGCGCGAACTGGTCCACGTCTCGGAGATCGCTGCAGACAGGACGGACCACGCCGCCGCGATCCAGCACATCGACGAAGCGCTCTATAGCCGTCAGCTCTACGTGATGGGCCGCGAGGCGCAGCTGCGCATGGGCGCGTCCGACGTGTTGATCATTGGGCTTGATGGACTCGGCGTGGAGATCGCCAAGAACGTCATTCTCGCGGGGGTCAAGAGCGTCACCCTCCACGACGATCTGCCCGTCACGACGCTCGACTTGGCGTCGCAGTTTTACCTGACCGAAGCGAGTGTCGGCCGCCCACGCGCGGCCGAGTCGTGGAAGAAACTGGCCGAGCTAAACCCCTACGTGTCTGTCCGCTGCCACAGCGGCGAGATCACGGAGGACGTGCTGCTCGACTTTCGGGTACGTGGGGCTGTGGTACTACCGGCAGCGGTGACAGCGCTGAGCTATGAGTGATGTTGTTGTATGCGCGTGCAGCAGAGTGTTGACAGGTGTTGTGTCGTGTACAGGTGGTGGTCCTCGTGAATGCCTCGTCGCTACAAGAAGCCGTGCGCATTGACAGGTTATGTCATGCGCACTCGATTGCATTCATTGCAACCGAAGCGCGAGGTGTCTTTGGCTCTGTCTTTTGCGACTTTGGCGACGAGTTTGTCGTCGCCGACCGAGATGGCGTCGAGCCTGTGAGCTGTCTGATCTCGTCAATTTCCAACTCGGCTCCTGTAGTGGTGACTGTGAACGACGACGCACGCCACGACTTGGAATCGGGCGATTTGGTCTCGTTCCGTGAAGTAGCGGGATTCTCGTTTCTGAACGACAGCGAACCGAGAAAGGTGACTGTCACGGGCCCGTTCACGTTCACGTTAGATGTCGTTGATGACGACGACAAGAAGCGCTTTGAGTCGGGGCATCCGTCCACGGGCGGTTACGCCACCAAAGTGAAGCAGCCATTGGTGACGAAATTCAGGACCCTAGAAGCAGCACTGGAGACACCGGGGGAGTTTTTGGTCAGCGACTTTGCCAAGTTGGGTCGTTCCGAGCTCCTGCACATGGCGTTTCGCGCATTGGATGCGTTCCGGGAGAAACATCAAGGGAACAGCCCAAAACCAGGCTGCATGCAAGATGCGGAGGAAGTATTCGCTCTCGCTATTGAAATCAACAAGCAATGTGCTTTACAAAGCCAGCACAGCGTCGCGGATATTGATGCTGCTGATTCGAAGAAGGTCATATGCGCGCTTGCAGCTGGCGCCACGGGTGTGATTTCACCAATGGCCGCTTTTCTGGGAGGCGTCGTTGGCCAGGAAGCTCTCAAAGCGTGTAGCGGCAAGTTCACTCCGATTCAGCAGTTTTTCTACTTCGATGCGGTCGAGTGCCTTCCAGACGCTGTATTCGCTGGCAACGCTGATGAGTTCGCCCCCACCGGGTCTCGGTATGATGGTCAGATTGTTGTATTCGGTCGGAAGGTGCAGGAAGCCATCAAGAGCCTGAACATGTTTCTTGTGGGCGCCGGTGCGATTGGATGCGAAATGCTGAAGAACTGGGCGATGATGGGCGTGGCGTCTAACAAGGACGGCACTATCCACATCACGGACATGGACACCATTGAAAAGTCGAATTTGAACCGCCAGTTTCTGTTCCGCTCGAAGGACGTACAACAAGCAAAATCGTCCGTTGCTGCTCGAGCCATCAAGATGATGAACCCGGACATCAACGTACAAGCGTACGTGTCTCGCGTTGGCAGCGAATCCGAAGATCAGTTCAACGACGACTTCTTCGAGTCGCTTTCTGGCGTGTGCACGGCGTTAGACAATGTAGAGGCACGTTTGTACATGGATCAGCGGTGTTTGTTCTACGGACTCCCAATGTTCGAGTCTGGTACGTTGGGAACGAAGGGTAACACGCAGATTGTCGTTCCGCACAAGACCGAGAACTATGGCGCGTCTCGGGATCCTCCTGAGAAGAGCATTCCGATTTGCACACTAAAGAACTTTCCCAATGCGATCGAGCACACTCTTCAGTGGGCGCGCGATTGGTTCGAGGGCGAGTTTTTCCAGGCGCCGTCAGACGCCAATCGTTACTTGGAGGAGCCGACGTTTTTGAAGGGACTTGAAGAGCAGCAAAATACGAAATTGGAAACACTCGAGCGGTTGAAAAGCACCCTAGTGGACGACCGCCCCATGTCGTTCGAAGACTGCATTTCGTGGGCCCGCTTCAAGTTTGAAGATCTCTTTAGCAATCAGCTCAAACAGCTGTTGTACAATTTCCCTCTCGATCAGGTATAGTCGAGCAATCTTGAGGAACGGCAGCGTTGACTCGTACCACCATAGCTAATGGGCTCTTTTTCTTTTGATACAGTTGACGACGTCGGGAAGTCCCTTCTGGTCTGGTCTAAAGCGGCCGCCGACGCCAGTAACGTTTGACCCGAAGGACACGCTGCACATGGACTTCATCGTGTCGGTCGCCAACAGCCGTGCGAAAAACTATGGCCTCAAGGGCCACACTGACAGGGACGCAGTTGCTGAAGTCCTCGCCGGCATCCACGTTCCGGAGTTTGCGCCGAAGCAAGGAGTGAAGATTGCCGCTTCTGATGCCGAACTAAAGGAGGGTAATGCTTCGACAGGTCTGGTAGACGCCGATGGTCAGAGTGACTTCATCTTGAAGGAGTTGCCGAAGCCGTCGAGTCTTGCCGGCTACCGCATGCAGCCGGTCGAGTTTGACAAAGACAATGATTCTCACATGGAGGTCGTTGTGTCTGTCTCCAATCTGCGTGCACGGTCGTACAAGATTCCGGAAGAAGACATGCACAAGTCGCGTTTCATTGCTGGCAAGATCATCCCGGCCATTGCCACGACGACAGCACTGGTGACAGGACTCGTGTGTTTCGAGTTTCTCAAGGTGTTCCAGAACAAGCCACTGACGGACTACAAGAACGGCTTTGTCAATCTGGCGCTGCCTCTCTTTACGTTTGCCGAGCCGATTGAGCCAAAGGCCACGACGACGATGCTGAAGGGCAAGGAGTACAAGTGGACTGCGTGGGACCGCCTCGAGGTGGACCAAGGCGACATGACGCTCAAGGAGTTTTTGACCTACTTCGAAAGCGAGTACGACGCCGAGGTGACCATGCTCTCGTACGGCGTCACGATCCTGTACGCAATGTACTCGCAGAAGTCCCGGTCAAAGGAGCGCATGGCGATGACGATCTCGGACCTCGTGCGCACAGTGACGAAGAAGCCGGTCGACCCCAAGCTGAAGTATCTCATTTTGGAGGTGTGCGCCATGGATGGAGACGGCGAGGACGTGGAGCTCCCGTATCTGCGCTACCACTATAGGCAGAAGTAGCAAAAGTAGCAATAGCGCCTCGTGAGCCGTAACGCTTTCAACGATCCGTGGTAATGTCGCGTGAAACCGAAAAGTTGTCGTCCGTAGCCAATCAGCTGCGCGCGTCTCCTCGCCTGCGCTCCTCCCTCTCTTTCTACCGTAATACAAGACCCACACTCGATTCGGCGCCCAAAGTTCCGCGAACCCGCTGGACCTCCGACAATAATGGCGCTGAACGTGGCGTACGAGCACCAGTCCAAGCGCGTGAAGGTCGCGCCCGGGACAATGATGGTCCGACTGCACCGGCGTCGCTTGCTCTACCTGCCTACACCTCTCGCGGGTCTCGACGCTCACTGTGTCGTGTAGTTTCAAGTGTTGACAGATGCGCGGACGCAGTTTGGTCTGAGCGATGCGACTCCTTTGCAGCTCCTGCACCGCGGAAAAGCCATTGACCTGTCCATTCCGTTCCGTCTGACGGGCATCTCGAACAACGCGCTGCTGGAGCTCGTGGAGACTGCGACGGCGGGGGCCGAAGCGCAACACGTTCGGGTGTGTGTCCAACTGCTCGACGGCAGGCGCGTCCACGCGTCGTTCGAGACGGACTCGACGCTGGAGCACATTTTGGCGCACTTGAAGGTGCTCCCGACATTGACGACACAGGTGCTAGTGGTTCAGATCTCGCTCTCTTGTTGGCGGAACGTGTGGTCGGTGACGTGCCGGAACTGATTGCGGTGATGGTGACAGCGCTTTTCGCTGGAGTTCCTGCGGCGAGACATTGGCTATCAGGTGTTTTCGACAACGACGTTGAAAGGTGATAAGGACTTGCCATGGCAGCGACGGTTGCAGGTCAGAGCTGGTGTTAACTCGTCCGCCCGTGCTTGCTGTTTGTGGCAGAGCTCGGTATTTTCAGCGGCTCGGCCATGTTTCGTGTTCAGGTCGCAAAGGAGGCACCGGAGTCAGTTGCGCCAAGCGCTCAATCGTCAGCTGTGCCTCCGCAAAAGCCTCATGTTTCGCCTGCGTCTACCGCTTCAATGTCGCCAGCTACTTCAACTCCCATGTGTGTAATGTCGGACCCTCTTCAGACATTGCAGTCACATGACCATGGAATGAATGGCACAGTCGCCGAAGAAAAAGCTGTCGGTGATAGTCGTACAAATGTGAGCAGTTACGACGCCTTGCAAATGCTGCGGAACAATAGTTTCGATGCCGTGTCACGCAGCGCTGTGACGACGTTGATGGCGATTGTCACGAACATCTTGTCGGACCCAGGTAGGTATGCTTTACGTTCACTTGACTTGTTTGGTTCGTTTGTTAAGTGTATGCTTATACTGTCGATGCAGAGAACGACAAAGGTGCGCTCGATGCGACTATCGAATGCAACCTTCCATCGCTCGGTTGGCCAAGTGAAGGGTGGCATCGAGTTTCTGATATCCATTGGGTTCAAAGTTGTGCCAGAAACACAAATGCTCGTCTTGAGTGCTGATGCACTCGACGAAGGCTTGATGAAAGAGGGCTTGCGGCTGCTTAGCATTGAAGCTGACGATCTACATATTCCACTGGAGGCGCGTCCAGCTATTCGTGAAAAGAAAGCAGACCTGAGCTTTGACGTGTTTAAGCCGCAAATTACCCGTGTGCAGGTACGGATGTTGCTACAGAGCGATCCAGCTTGTATTGACCTCTTTTTCGTGTTTTGTGCTCGTCAGATGCAACCCCGAGGCCCGAGCACGACGGAGGTCCTCGTGGACGCTTTGAAGTCCAAGCAAGAGCAATTGGTAGGACACGAGAAACCTCCTCGAAGCACGACTATTGCATTCGACGGGAAGCGATCAAGTGGTCGGATGGACTCGGTAGTCGAAGACAGCGAGCGAAGTGACGCACAACTACTAATCTCGAGTCTTAAAGCTCGACGAGAAAAGATGGAAAAGACCAAGGTTGCTGGATTGGCAATACGTACTCATCGATAAACTGGTAGTTGGGGCTGATTTTTGTATCCGCCTTGACGCATCGTAGAACTTCCGCACGCAGGCGATGCGTGATCTGGACGAGCTCAAGCGCAAAAGAGTCTTTCAGACGACGTTGATTCGAGTGCAGTTTCCGGACCGAGGTACGTGGAGCTACGTTGCTGTCAATTTGAGAAAAGCGTGCTGCCTTCTCATTACCTGGATTTGTGCTATCGTCAAATGCATAGCCGTCATGCAAGCGACCTTCCACCCCAGTGAAACGATCCAAGATGTGATGGACCATGTCGTAGAATGTCTGGATGGTCAGTTTCAGGCCAGCAAGTTCTATCTGTACGTGACGCCCCCGACGCAGAAGCTGGTGGCTTCCAAGACCTTGCTCGAGTTGAACCTCGTGCCTGCTGCATTGACATATCTCTCATGGATCGGAGCGTCACCTACATCCGAGGTGCCCAGCGCTGGTTTCTACTTCCGCAGTGACCTGGTAATGCTTTTGTCGCACACTTGTCTTTCGATGAATGTTCACTTACCGCTTTTCGTATGTAGTTGGCAGAAGGGCATGACGAGTCGAGAGACAGTGTGAGTCCTTTGCAGCAAGCGGTGTATCCCAAGCCGGTCCATCTCGGTAAGTGAAAGCGCGTAGCCCGGCGTTTTTTTTCGATGCTGATGCTGGATGTCGATCTACTCTTGTGCAGATGACGCGCGCACAACGCAGGCATGTGACGAGCCAATGAGGCAGACACCGTCGCGCGCTCAAGCAAAATCTACAAAGAAGCCGTCGTGGTTCAAGTCTTAGCGTTCGGCCACGATGCCATGTGCTATTGCAGTGTGTAGTAGCGATAGCAGTGAAAGTGAACCATGCTGATGCTAAAAATAATCGGTCTACAGTTGTAGGAATGCTTTGCTGCTTTATTACTATTCAAACGGCGCCGCGCACCAATCGCCAGAGCTATGAACAGCGGCAGAAAGTGATCTCCTTGGATTGCTCCGTTTGCAGTACTGGCGGCTCCACAGCTGTAGCTTGGTCAGAATCAACTGCACCTTTCGCAAGCAAGTGACTACCACTGCGCATCGGTTCAAGCTGATCCTCTGGACAACCAACCGAACATTCTGATCGACTTGGTGCTGCAGTTGCTGAATCGAATGGGGTCTGCCGTACACGGTTGACCCTTTCATGCCTCCCACATCTTCGATCTCGCAACTCTCTACGGACCTTGAAATTACAGCCGCGCTTGGCGTCACGCGCATTGAAGAGACGATGCAGCTTAGCCCATTGCAACTCGCGGGCCGCGGGACCTGTACGGACAGTCATCTTGTCCGTCGTCATTCGGTCACCCATACTGATCTGTACCGTCAACGAAAGCCGTTTTGCCATGCTTTTCACCTCCTTGACATACTGAATCTTTTCTTGGATCAGAGCACGTTTGCGCTGCTTCACTTTCTCTCTCTTCGTAAGCTTTTTCGAAACTGCTTCTTGCGCTTGATTCAGTTTCTCCGGTGCCATAGTCCCACGACAACATGCTGCCTTACAGTGGCATTTCCACTCCATGGCCTGTTTCGTATGAAACTGGTAATCGTACGAAAGCTCCGTGCCTGGCTCAATATCTGTCAAAGCTGTAATCGCGATCCGGTTGACACCCTTGACGCGCCATTTCAGCAAGTGACAATTTGGATCGCACGAGTGATTGATGAATCGAGAAACACTTCCTTTGAACCGCGCGTCGATGTACTCGCCCTTACCTAGCTCCATAATGTACATGTTCTTGTCTTCAGGGCTATGCTTCGCGTGATGAAGTAGTCGCCGTTCTTTCTCTTCTTCATTGATCACTTCACCAACGTACTCAATCACTAGCTGTCCTGCCCTGACTTGCTCAAGTACACGGAGACCCCAACCCTTTTCGACGGTATGGAACTTCTCGAAGCGGGGGTACACCTTCTGATGAAGTGCGCGGTTTCCGCAACACTCGCCAAGCGTGCAGTTCGATTCTCGATTCTGCCTGTTGAACTTCATCCCTGGAGTCGGCGCCGGTCCAAAGCACTCGGTAAAACTCAGCCGATTAATGCAGTAGTCTCCGCACTTTTCTTTACAAACACATGTTGGCGCGTCATCTAGAGAGACCTTCTGCTGCTTGAACGTGTAGATGCTACGACCCAATTTACGGTAAGTCGGTGGCTGTAAGCGAACGTCCTCGATATGATTCAAGAAAAGGCGGAAGTGATGGTAATCGTTCGGCCTACTAGCATCCGGATCGCGTTTAGGCGTGAACATCCACGGTAAGTTCAGACCAGAATCGACCGTCACCGTGTCGATGTTTGGATCAGAAAGGTAAAATGACGGGATTTTTGGTAACTTGTCATCATGATGCCGCCAGCAAAGCAGCCCAATCGAATTATAACGAGCACTTGGCGGAACACAACGCGGATGATAAGCTTCTGGACACTTCAGGCAGTGCATGAGATCGCGGCTCTTTTTCTCTCCTTTGCACACAAGACACGCGTGGCGGGGACACCGGAACGAAGCGTCAGACACGAGCAGCTCATTCACCGTGGAAGAACCCGGTTTAGCTTTAGCTCCCCCTCGACGAGATATTTTGTTCGCTTCAATACATGTCTGGTGATAGAATTTGCCACAGGTCGCAACGTTACAGCGAAAAACACCACCCTTTTCGTTGATCGTTCCATTGCGTCCGCATGCAAAACACAATTGCTCATTTGTGCGACACTGTTCACACAGCCACTCTTCATCCTCTGGTGCCGAGTCAATGCCCAAACACGAAAAGTGATACGACTTGAGGCAGCCACCATCACAAAATACCATGTCAGTGAGATCATCGTCTTCCACCTCGCCGCACATTCCGCACAACGACTCTTCCGGGAACTTGGGCTCAACAGCTAGGACACCTCTCTTCTTCTTAGCCAGCACCTTTGGCTTGCACGCTCCGTTTCCAACGAGTTTAGTTACTGCGCGTCCTGATCGGGTAAGACCTGTTTGAACAAATGTTGGCGAACGGTCTTGTTTTCTCTCGGCAACGCATTCGAATCCGTCGCGCAAACGCTTGTTTTCCTCGCTTCCATTGACCGCTTTGCTGCAAAGCAAATCTACCCCGTGCATTGGTTCACTCATCGCAACGTCATCCAAGCTATTGCTCAACGTCCTGTCCATCATCATTTGGCCAGCAAAACTCGCAATAGCACTGCTACTGTCCAGTACAGCAACACGTTTCCGTGGATGCAATCCATCTGACACAGCATCGTTCTCTTCTTTTGCATGATAGGTACGCTTATTGGTCGCGCTTGCAGTCTCCGATATCCCACAGATACCACGAACATTCACGACACTGGACAGGACCGCGTCCACATTACCAATGGCTTCGATCGGTACTTTGTTGCACGATATTTGACTCGGCCCATAGTGTCGCTCCATTGCAGCGTCCCTCGAGTCCGTGTCGACTTTTATCACGTGTTCCACCTCTTTTTTGTCAATGGACCTGCTCGCACCAGCAGAGCCACTGCTGTTCACCCCATGCAATTGACTATCTCCACTCCCCTTATGACGTATGAGGGGCTGCTCACCACCTGCGGGCTCCTCGCGCCTGTTGTTGGAACGGTCCACGTCAACAGCTGCACTTGCGACGGCTGAGTTGCCATCGACGCTACGAACGACCGCAATGGAAAGTCGTCCAGCAGTGGCAACACGATCCTCCGCAAGCACGTGGTCCGCCTCGTCTGTGCCCGCACGACTCGTGGTCTCCGCTGTCTGCCCCATCCGAGCGCGCGTGGGCCCTCGTGCTCCACCACTACCACGTTAGTGTGCTCGAGGCACCGAAATGCGTTCTGTGTGGGTGTGGTCGACATGAATCCGGGACTCCCCTCTGGCACAATAATCACAAGAACTACTGCTAAAGTTAAAAAAGGCGAATTAGAAATGGCACAACACGCCCAAACCCGCAGGCAAAGTCGACAGCCGCCGACGGGTTCGACAGAATATTGTGCTGGGCTCTGGTTTCGGTCATATTGCAATGAACCGAATGCGTGACGAGGAGGACGAGGACTTGGACGAGACGTTCTTGCACGCCGACATCCCCAACAGTTTCCGCGAGCTGCGCGCCTGCATGACGTGCTCACTCGTCAAGACGTTTACGCAGTTCTACGACACGGGCTGTGAGAACTGCGCGTTTCTCCAGATGGCCGACAACCGCCAGCGCGTCGCAGAGTGCACGTCGGCCTATTTTGAAGGGTACAGCGCCCGCTGCTCGATTGAGACGGATAATATCTGACAATCCGGATACATGAGAGTGGACAGAACCAAGCGCGCAGGAGCACTGACCCGGGATTGATGTATCGTTGTGACGCAGCATGATCGCCATGATGCAGCCCAAGGAAAGCTGGGTGGCCAAGTGGCAGCGCATTGGTGCGCTTCATCCGTAGAACGATACGTGAAAGGTCATGTGCGTGCGTGTGCCCTAATTTGTTGTCGTTGTCTTGTGTGTCGTTTTGATCGTCGACGCAGTTCGCTTGATCCCAGGAATCTATGCCGTGTCCGTCTCGGGCGAACTGCCCGACTCGATCAAGCGGTTTCTCGAGGACCGGAACATTCCCTATCGCGTTCAGAATTAGGTCCGCTGAACGAGTCGACGAACGCTCTTTAGCTTGTCGTTCGTCCGCTGCTCATCGAAACCCTAGACTTGTCCGAGCTTTGGCCTTGACGAGCTCGCATCTCGTAGCCGACGCCACCTAACTAGTCTATAAACACACGCGTCTTGGAACGAAACTCGCTGCACCACAGCATCGCTATGTTCTTTTGGTCAAGCCCGATGCCGGGCGTCGAAACCCAAAAGACCGCTGCGGTAGAGGTAACCTACTGCGCTCTGCTGGCTTTGACGCGCTTGTGACGCTGTTTGTCGTCACACCCGATGCGCCAAGTGCCCTTGATGATGAACCCGATGTGGATACAGAAAAACTTCGTCGCTGAATAAAAGACCGCGCTGTTGGCAGCACGTTGGACGCAGAAGATGCCAGTGCTTTCAATCTCGGAATCGATTCACCGGAGGTTGCATGGGCACTACTCATGGCTGATGCAGACTGCACAGTCTGCATCATAGGCTGTGGCTGTGACAGTGACGACTCAGTAGGTGGCAGCACACTGGTACCGGCCGATGTCGCGTCCTGAGGTGTCATAGCAATTTGCTGTTGTACTCGGCCTAGCTGTCGGCTTGATGGCGTATCGTGTCCTTCAATGACGTTCTCGTCAAGAGCGACTGGCATTTTGCTTCCAGTACTGGGATGTGCACGAGCAGTAGGCGCACAGGTAAATAAGGAATGCCGTCTACCCAATGTACGTCCTCTCCGTTCAGGCACTGGGTACCGAAACGAAACGACCAAATCGAAGTCCCCGCACTCTTCGTTGGACAATTCTGCTGCCAATATTTCTTCCGGGCTGGCATTGTTCATGATCAAGTCGAATGTGCTTCTCGGGCCAGCACATCGATCAAGCTTCTTTGCATTTAAATGTGAGGGGCTCGGAGATACATCGTGAAACCAGTCATCACTCAGAGGATCGTCTCCCACAAGGGCTTGGAACACGAGGTCGGGGTCGTCTTCCTTTACTTCATATACTGCTAGAGACAACTTGTCCGCTGGAGTGACGTGAGTCTGCTTGTACTCGCAATACCCTACTATTCCACCGACCTGCAACATCGAAATGACATCGGCCTGTACAGTATCTACATTCGGCACCTTCTCGTTCATAGAATAACAAGGACGCCCATTGAAAGACTCATCGCCTCTCGCGCCAACACCAGCATTGCAACGGCTCGACAACGCTCCTTTTGTCATTGCTTCTGGTAAAGCATCTGGACCAAAGTCATCGGGCCACTCGTCACTTCCTTCGTGAGTAGCCGGCAACAACTCATCCACAGGATCAAACGCATCTTCCGAGCTTCCAAGAAGCGCAATTTCACCGTTTTCACTACCAAAACTCGCTTCCAAATCGGCAAAGTGTCCTTCAAAGACACTGGAATAAGTCAACGGCAGTAGGTCGTTTCGATCTCGCAACGTTCGTATATCGCCGCCAAATAAGCCACCAGCGCTGCTGCTTGACACCAAATGACATTCGCTGGCAGATGCGTTTTGCACCCTTGTATCTTCTTCCACCTTTTCCGCTACGTAGGTTGCATCATTCGAGTGGCTCCCGTCAGCGATGTCTTCATCGGTGGCACGACCAACCGGTGCAATCAACTTCCTGGCGACACAACCCGAGTTACCGCGCGTAGGAACAACAACATCATCTGATGCTTGAACCGCACTTTCCTTCTCATTCGCACAAAACTCACTCGCATCTCTTGCATTGGCCACAGCACAACCAATCGATACCCGCCCGATATCGCTATCGGCTGACGTTGCCGACGCGTCCGACATCCGTCGCTTTGACACTGCTTGTTCAGTGTCTGCAATGTCATCCGTTGTTGATGCTGCTATCACAACACTGCCAGCGTCATCGACATTGCTTTCAGCATTTATCTGCTCGTGTGTGGACCGTGCAGGACGAATGGGTCGATCATCGACATCGCTTTCCGCATTCATCTGCTCATGTGTGGACCGTGCAGGACGAATGGGTCGATCATCGAATGCTCCAGCAACAACAACGACGGCGGCTTCGACGTCTTTGACGCAAGCATCGGATTCAGATCGGATAGCAGAAGATATACCATCCTCGCTGGGAGCATCAGTGTGCGAAACACCAATCGATACCCGCCCAATATCGCTATCGGCTGACGTTGCCGACGCGTCCGACATCCGTCGCTTTGACACTGCTTGTTCAGTGTCTGCAATGTCATCCGTTGTTGATGCTGCTATCACAACACTGCCAGCGTCATCGACATTCCTTTCAGCATTTATCTGCTCGTGTGTGGACCGTGCAGGACGAATGGGTCGATCATCGACATCGCTTTCCGCATTCATCTGCTCATGTGTGGACCGTGCAGGACGAATGGGTCGATCATCGAATGCTCCAGCAACAACAACGACGGCGGCTTCGACGTCTTTGACGCAAGCATCGGATTCAGATCGGATAGCAGAAGATATACCATCCTCGCTGGGAGCATCAGTGTGCGAAACACCAATCGATACCCGCCCGATATCGCTATCGGCTGACGTTGCCGACGCGTCCGACATCCGTCGCTTTGACACTGCTTGTTCAGTGTCTGCAATGTCATCCGTTGTTGATGCTGCTATCACAACACTGCCAGCGTCATCGACATTCCTTTCAGCATTTATCTGCTCATGTGTGGACCGTGCAGGACGAATGGGTCGATCATCGACATCGCTTTCCGCATTCATCTGCTCATGTGTGGACCGTGCAGGACGAATGGGTCGATCATCGAATGCTCCAGCAACAACAACGACGGCGGCTTCGACGTCTTTGACGCAAGCATCGGATTCAGATCGGATAGCAGAAGATATACCATCCTCGCTGGGAGCATCAGTGTGCGAAACACCAATCGATACCCGCCCAATATCGCTATCGGCTGACGTTGCCGACGCGTCCGACATCCGTCGCTTTGACACTGCTTGTTCAGTGTCTGCAATGTCATCCGTTGTTGATGCTGCTATCACAACACTGCCAGCGTCATCGACATTCCTTTCAGCATTTATCTGCTCGTGTGTGGACCGTGCAGGACGAATGGGTCGATCATCGACATCGCTTTCCGCATTCATCTGCTCATGTGTGGACCGTGCAGGACGAATGGGTCGATCATCGAATGCTCCAGCAACAACAACGACGGCGGCTTCGACGTCTTTGACGCAAGCATCGGATTCAGATCGGATAGCA